TAGCTTCATATTAAAACATAAAAACAAAAAATTAAAAAATGAACTTTTCACTCAGGCTTTTACTTTGGCCAGTGTCTTTTAACTGGGTGATGTACCAGTATTCCCCTCATCACAGCCCCTGTTTTTGTGAACATTCTTCAGTCACTGTTTTATGGTAGACAAGCTAGAGATACATTTTCTCCCCTACCCCCAGGATCAAAGGCAAGCATCCTATCAATGAGTTGCACCCCGTTCCCCACTTTTAAGAATGCTTTGGCTTCTCTTCCTTTTTAAAGGGCTTTTGTTTGGACGTAGAATCCTGTGTTGACACATCTTTCCTTTCTACTCCTACTTCCTTCCAGCCCCATGGGATCCAGTAAGAAGTCTGCTGTCACTGGTTTTCTTCCATAGATCATGCCATTTCTGTCAACACTTTCCTCTGCTGTTTCCTTTTTTATTGTTTTGTTGTGCTATACATTTTTCTCTGCTCCCCTCCTGTCCTTCCCTCTTCCCTTTTATCCTCTCCCGTGACCCTCATGCTCCCAATTTACTCAGGAGATCTTGTCTTTTCCTCCTTCTATTTAGATCCATATGTGTTTCTCTTAGGGTCCTCTTTGTTGTCTAGGTTCTCTGGGGTTGTGGATGTGGTACATTTATACAATGGAGTACTACTCAGTGGTAAAGACTAATGCCATCTTGAAATTTGCAGGCAAATAGATGGACATAGAAAAGAAAACATATTGGGTGAGGTAACTCAGACTCAGAAAGGGAAATATAATATGTACTCACTCATAAGCAAAGAAAAACCAGCCTGCTATTGCTTCTCATACATTCAGCATCTCCACTACACAGTGACCAGTTCACCCCACCACTTTTCACACAGCACCCAAAGAAAGCATGACAAGACCGCGAGTTCTTGTTTAGCAGTAATAAGGACTACTCTCCCATCAGAATATTAACAGAACGAAGAACTTTGATTTCTGTCTTTACCTGGGTGTGATGAGGTAGCATCTCCCCCATCACCGGCTGCAATAGTGGATAAAAAGGAAGGGGGAACTCTCTCTGTGTTCGTTTATTTAAGAAGCAATAAGAAAAGCAGCACAGACTGGCTGACTCGGAAATGCCTTTCTAGCTTACAGAAACTGGAATCCAAGGGCCACATACCAGCAAGGATGGTTTCTCCTGCAACCCAATTCCTTGGCTTGCAGATTGCCACCTTATCACTTTGTCTTTAAAAGTCCTTATCGTTGGTACCTCTCCTTCTATGAACCAGTCCTATGGGTGGATTACAGCCCCTGCTTATGACTTCATTTAACCTCAGTTACTACTTTAATACTTCTCTCTCAAAATTCAGTCATAACGGAGCTTAGAGATTTAATTTATGATTTGCATGGAATACATTTTAGTCCAACTCAACGGACCTGTCCCCATGCTGCTTTTTTTTTTTTTTTAGGTTATGATGTCCCTGTCTGGCATGCTTTCTTCTTTCCTATCCTCCAGAGCCGCCTTATGTTTGTTTTAAATATAGTAGTTACCCAGGACATCCAGTGGGATGGAGGGGGATAAACCTAGTCCATTTTCCTGGAAGACAAGACTCTCCCTTTTGAAAAATTTAAAGAGGTTTTATAACTCAATTCAAATTGGTTCTGATTCACAGGAGAGAGGTTTCACTGATAAAGACATACTTTCGTTGACATCTCAACTGGGAACTGGGATGATAAAGAGCACCTCCCCAAGTCCATAGATTAGGGGAAAATATCGGCTGTGTGATGGAAAATTTATCTCCCAAAAATGTAATCCCTCGTGCTGGGAAGGAAAGGCGTTATGACGGACATGGCGAAAGATTAGAAGCTCTGTCTCTCAGAGGAGTCTTCAGCTCCTGGAAGGAGACGAGACTTGCACCTTTCCTGGTACAGACCAAGAAGGTGGAAGTCCTGGAGAGGGCTGAGTATGTGTGTGCATTTGTGCACACGTGTGCACACCTGTCAGAGAGTGGGATCTGAGAGTCTTGCCCTTCCGAGGCAGAGGCATGAAGTATATGTTGTTTCTTTGAACACCTGAGTGAGTCTAGAAGCTTCTAACTTTCAGACCTCTGGAATTTCCACACCGCTGATGCTGTGAGGGTCAGGAGAAACTCCCTATTGCTTAGCTCCCACCTCCTACTAGGAAGTAGGGGCTTCTTGAGGAAGATTGATGCACAGCATTAGTCAAGCCCCAACATGCCCCGAGAGGAGGTCACAAGACAAACAGCCCCTGCCACGAGCTTCCAGCCCACCACCCAGCATTCCTATTACACTTGGGCCACAGGCACGGTAGATGAGTGTGGGTGTACTTCATTTCCTGCCTCACACAATAAACTTGTCAGTATTGGACGGATCCGCGCTTGCATTCAGGGAGTTCATTTGCAAGGCCACCTGGCTTCCCAGAGCCGCTGTCCTGCTCCCATTTCATCCTGCCTAATGAGCCAGGGCCTGGTTCCTAGTGCGCGGTGCTGAGCTGCTGGGCCAGACATGGCCAGCGTCTGCTAGCGAGGCCTCAGCTGCTCCTCGGGGATCCTTGCCGTCTGTCTGAAGGAGGCCGAGCTACTAGCATGCAGAGGAACAGCCGTTTTGCTGCAAGCCTGTGCTGCACAGCTGGGAGGGGCATGGCAAGCTGTGCTGCACAGCTGGGAGAGGCAGGACAAGCTTTCACTCTTCCCTGCAGAGGTAGGATCGGGCCAGCTGCAGCTTCCTGGCTGGACAAGCTTGTAATGGACTTCTGGAATGCCTGTCTGTCACACACTGTTTGGGCTGGTTTCTAAGAATTCCTGGTTAAGGAAGATACAAAGCCAACAGGGAAATGATGTATAGCATTTGCGCTGCCCATTGCCCCTCACTAGCCAGCAAGGTCTTAGTCTTCCCATGTCTGCAGGCATCCTTGACTCTACTCTAACCACAGAGCCTCGGTCCAGGATCCTTCAGTGACTCTTGTGAGGACTCCTCATTCCCAAGTCTGACTTTCTTGGTGCTCTGCTCCTGACCTGGGCCTGGGGCTTACATGATTGGAACAAACCCAGCCTTGTCCAGTTACTGGGCAATTATTATCAGACCTCATGCTTAAGTAATCTTGGAAATGGCCCTATAGTCAGGTTATTTATTTTCTTTCCCCTCCTGCAAATGGAACATGATAATGTTGCCAGTCTCCTATTACAGTATGCATATGTATGCATGTATTATAGTATGCATTGTATGCATTATAGTATGCATATGTATGCATTATTATAGTATGCATATGTATGCATGTAATATAGTAAGCATATTTATGCATGTATTATAGTATGCATTGTATGCATGCATTATAGTATGCATATGTATGCATTACTATAGTATTATATGCATGTATCTCTTACCTGGCCATAGCTCTCACTCCTATCTGAGCCTAAGCTCAGGAAAGTGCCCTGATATCTGTTACTAACTATGGATCCTTCTTTGCCCACATTACATGGAGGTCTCACTTTCACTGAGTCCACAGACAGGGAACACTAACCAGATCAGAGCCCCCGGAAGGCTGCATGACAGCCAGAACCCTGAGGACCCAGGATGGCAGACAGGGAAGGGTGGTATAGCCCCATGCTCAGGAGTTACGCAGTGTGGAGGAAGGTGGGAAGAGTGGCAAAGAGGACTTGCTGCTCCTCTATAAGGTAGCTCCCTGGGAGTAAGGGGAAGAATATGAAGCACACCCTCCCTGTGCTCTGAAGGCACTGGCTAGTCTGGGAGCCCAAAGGCCACCCTGGCTGCCATAGAGCACACAGTACAAGGCTAAGCACCATGATCATCTCCCAGCCAGAGAGACACAGTGGGGAGGGAGGCACAGTGAGGAGAATAGGTGCTTGACTCTCTTACCTCTAGATTTTATTGGAAGAATTTAGACCTTTGCTTGCTTCTAGCCGAGAGGAGGCTGGAAGTTGTAGGATTAGCCAGTAGTCCATGCGCCAAGCTAAATGCAGGGTCCTCTAGTAAAGGGAGCAGGGAAGCTGTCGGATACAGACAGCATCCCCTGCCACATGGTGCATGATGGTGCCTAATACCACGTCCCAAAGCTTCTGTGCATAGAGCACTCTCACCCTGCCCAGATGCTGAGGGTACCTGTCTCCATCCTGTTACTGCATCCAGCCCCAAGTTCAGAGTCCCCAGGCTATGCTCAGCCCTCTCCTCTGGGTCTTGAAGTAGCTCCTTGGAATTTTAGATCAAAGTTGTGAAGTTTGGGCTTATGGTGGACTTAAAATTTTGACAAACTTTAAGGCAAAAGATGTGTTATTACATCCATAACCAGCATGGGATGGTGGAGAACGGAATCGCCTCAAGAAAGTCACGTGTTTGGAAGAAGGCAAGGTGGTGGCAACATGTGCCCATGATCAGCACCACCTGCCGGGTGGACTTGACAGTCTCTTGGGAAGTGTTAGAGGCTGTGTGTAAGAATAAGCTGTAGGTCAGCTGGGCTCCCAGATGACATGTGTCCTGCATATCTAGTGGCTTCTAGCCCATTTGCCCTGATAAGTGAGTTCTATGTCACTTAACCAGCCCCAGCCAGCTCATTAAGGCTTGCCCATCCCCCTTCAGCTCAGACTCTGAACCCACACCCTCGCGGGAAATGGAGGGCAAGCAACACCTTTCTCTCAGCTCTTCATGTGAAACTACCTAATTTAAAAATTTCAGGAACAAAGTTGAGTACTTGGAAAAAAGAGTGGATGATTGATGTGCACAGATACGGTAATATCCATGCCAGCGTGAGGGTGTTGTCGGACAAGGGAGTGGGATCCTGGACAGGACTGAAGCAGCTCCCTTCATCTGGGCAGGCAGAACCAGTGGCCTCACACCGGGTACTGCTAGATTTCAACAGCCTTCCCGAGAACAGTGGGGTAGAGCAGAGGCTCAGGACAGGAGATCTGACTGCAGGTCCTGCCAAGACAGGCAATCTGCCTGCAGCGTGTGGGACTCTCTGGGTGCCTGTGACCTGAGGCCACACTCTCTCCTGTCCTGCAGACTCCACCAACCGGGACTCCCTGGACATGATTGAGCGCTGCATTTGCCTGGTGTGCCTGGATGTTCCTGGGACTGGGGAGCTCAGTGACACTCACAGGGCACTCCAGCTCCTTCATGGAGGAGGCTGCAGCCTGAATGGGGCAAATCGCTGGTACGACAAGTCCCTGCAGGTAAGTGCCTTTTGGTGGCCCTACAATTGCATAGCCTCTTCTGGAGCTGGCTGCCAGCACACACTCTCACTGGCTTCTGTCACTCAGACTGTACTGACCATGTCACCTATAGACTAGCCAGAGTTCTTTTCAGGAGACTCCCTGACGGCCCCGCCACTGTGTTGGAAGAGCTTGGTTACACCCGGGCTCATTCCCCATCTCCATGGCACCCTGGGGTGGAAGAGCACCACAGGGTCACCCAGTAAGTCCTCAACAGTTTGTTAAACAGGATGGTTCGGAGCTGACCAGGGATACCAGCTTTTCTGAATGCCCACCACCTGGTTTGACTATTTCAACACACGCCGAGAAGCAGGGCAACCCAGCACTTCCTAAATACACCCTAAGTTACAATCACATAATCCAAGGCGTCTCACTCACGTGCATCAGGACAACATCTTATGCTGACTGAGAGGAAAACGCTCATGCAAATGGGCTGTACTCTAGGTTGGCTGTTTGGTTCAGACCTCTACCCAACCCCCACACACCCTGCCTATCCCACAATTTGCCAACATCTAATACAATCTCGTTTATTTAATACCACCACACCCTCACAGTGACCACATGAAAGCAAGTTAACCGTCTCTCTGGGTTGGGACAGCCCACCCCCATAAGCATTTCCCAGAAAAAGCGCATTTTCTCCTCTCCCCATCCCTGCGTTTGCTGGGTTATTTTCTTTATTGGTTTGCATGGTGATTCTGTTATTTCTGATGAGTGCTGGCTGTTCAGCCTCCACACTGGTGCTAATGGCTTAGGCTCACTCACAGAGCTGTGCTGGGAATGAAACTCATAGAATGGATGTCCGGGGCACAGAGCGGAGAAAGCACTGGGCGCAGTTTTTCAAAGATCTCTTTTCCTCCCTTCTTTTCAGTGACGGGGGACAGAAAGGTGCTCATAGGACATGGGCACAGATTCACCATTTTGTAGACAGGATGGAAAATCGGTGAGCTGGGGTGCTACGGAGGTGTCATAAACCTGAACTGGAGGGGGAATGGAGAGCGAGTCTTCACAGGGAAAGAAAGGGAGAGAGAGAAAGGTGCATACTAGGAGTCTAAAGGGACCCTGTGGGTGTGTGACTGTTTGTTGTTGGCTAGATTATTGGAAGACATTGAGATTCCAGGGTCTGGCACAGATAACCAAGACTGGGGGATGGTATGGGAAGAGGCAGCTCCAAGTGTGTGTGCCGTGGTTCCGGGCCATGCTTTCAGGAAACACCGTAAGAACTTGCCCTTTGCTTATTTGTTTATCCATTACCCAGGGCAGTCTGAGTGTGAGGAACAACAGAGAACCCCACTTCACTTGGCGTATACCCCAAGAGTCAAGCCTTGTCCTTCTCATAACACTTTTGAGCCCCGAGAGCATTCCTTTCCCAAGTCAGCTCAATGCAGTCTTTGGGAAACCAGGTTTTAAAAGGCCCAAGGAATCTCCATGGTGTCTGTGGGTCCCCCAGAGCCTTTCTCTCGAAATTGCATCTCAATCCTGTAAGATGCTCTACTGGGCAGGTTTAAATGCCTCAAGCCCAGGTTCAAAGAGTCCTGAGGACGTCTCCTCCTCACCCAGACGCAACAGCAGACTGGGAGCTGGTGTCTGTCTAACAGGACACTCTCCCCACACCTCTCCTTTCTCCCTACAAATCCTCTCACCACCAAATCACATTGTTATTTTTTATTCATTCATGCAACTCAATTACCCGGCAGCTGCTCTGGGGATGGACACTGGTCTAGCTCCCTGGAATAAAATCAACAGTGGCCCAGAGAAGCAGAGGCAGTCCATTAGGCAAATGGCTACAAAAAGCGGCAGAGAATGGTGTCTGCTGTGCACGCCATTAAGGACAAACAGGTCTGAGCACCACTCAACCCTATAGACCATGCACCAGACGGTGTGAGCTTGCTAAGACCCAGGGACCGCTGCACTGGGGAACTGGGGCTGCCCCTTCGCTGCCTGAAGTCCTGTGGGCGCTTCCCTGAGACTCTTGCACTCTCTGCAGCATATCCTTTTCAGAAGTCGGTATCCTTGAAGGAGAAACGCCCCAGTGGCCAGGCGGTCCTAACCCAGGCCCAGAGCCTAGTTGGAAATGCCCACTGCAGGGTCAGCTCACCCGCCTCTTTCCTGTTGCAGTTTGTGGTGGGCCAAGACGGCACCTGCGGTGTGGTGTGTGAGCACTCCCCATTTGATGGCATCGTTCTGGTACAGTGCACGGAGCACCTGCTGAAACATATGTGAGTCTGGGGAAGAGCAGAGGAAGGCCTCAGAGTGCTGCCGTGAAAAGCCAGGAGAAACTGGGGTATCAGTCCAGAAAGCGGCTGAGCCAAAGATAGATTTGGAAAGCAGCTTGAGAACTGCGAAATGAGCTTTGTGTGCCACAGACGGACGGGAGGTCCAGACAGACGGACGGGAAGTCCAGACAGACGGACGGGAGGTCCAGATTGGGCGGGAAACCCTGGGCAGACAGGAAGATGCAGGGGATCCAGGCTTTGATCCAGGGAAGCTCAGATTCATCTTTGTTGTTGGTCCTGAGACCAGCAACAGGTACTTGGTGGCCCAGCACAGAGGGAGGTCCCCTCCATCACCAGCTAGGTCCCCAGCCTTCATGCTGGCTAGGGTGAAGCCTTGCTTTTCTGTGCCTTAACCACGCTGCATCCCTTCTAGCTTTCCTGGTTTTGCTCATTCTCTTCGAGCATCTCTTTCACCCGTGTAGGTTCTCAGTCTCTTCCAAAGAGTCTTTGGAGTGATTGAGACACAAACCAACCCTTGAAGATGGAACCACACAGCTCATTACGTCATTCCCAAGTCTTCCACAAGCCTGAACATGGTTTAACACTAGGGCATATAGAAGCAAATGGCGCACTTGGGAGTCAGGCGGAAGCGGATGGGCTCCTGGTTGTCATTCGCTGAGTTTGTTATTGGCTTGGTACTTCTGTGCGCAGCTCAGACCCCCTAAACTCCGGGAGCCATGCACTGAAGCAGCCGAGATGGCTGCATGGGAAAGCAATGCTGCCCACAGTCCCCGGCTGCAGGGTCTCAGGAGGTTGTTGTCCCTTTGTGTCTGCAGGATGAAGAGCAACAAGAAGCTAGTCCGAGCTGACTCAGTGAGTGAGCTCCCTGCCCCCAGGAGACTGAGGTGGAAATGTTCCCCAGAAACTCAAGGTCACCTCGCCTCCTCGGCAGAGAAACTTCAAAGGTGAGGGGAACCCTAAGTTTCCTTTAGGGGCCCACTCTGCTCCCTCAACAGCTGCTGAAGCACCGTGGATGATTCCAAAGGCCCTTGGGACTCTGTTCCCCTTCAGGCTCCACCCACTCTCACCCCTCATGGAAAAGCAGTCAAGCTAAAGAGGAGTCATGGCTCTCAGGAAATAACCTTGCTCAAATATACACCATTTTCATAAAATGCAAACACGAAGCTATTTTTTTCCTGTAGGTTTCACCTGAGTAGGCAGAGTCAAGGCCGGGAGTTGATGCAATAAATAACCACTTTGAATAGTTATTTGAATCCAAGCTATTTTAATTTGCTTGGCTTTACAGGGCAATTTGACAAGGGGGCCTTTTTCCCAGGAGAGGGGCTGGTTCGGGCCTTAAGGGACACGGGCAGAAGGACTGTGGGTGTCAGTCCCTGCAGGAGATGAGTGTGAGAACACTCATTTACTCACTCCTCAAACTTGTAGAGCTCGAGTGTGTCAGGTCTGTGGCAAAGCACTGGGAACTCAGATAGGAATGTGCCCTGGGCTTATCCTCCAGACTTTAGCGGGAGAAGCAGACCCCAGAACAAATGAGGTAGAAGGCATGAAGTGCCCGAAACAGAGACAGACGTGCAGACCCTAAGCTGACGGTGGACAAGGGTTGATCTCTGTCTGGATAACAAGGGAGGCCTCCGAAGGATGAAAGCAGTTTGAGGGGCTAGCAGGCAGGGAGGAGGCACATGGTGGCTTGTTTAAGCCTCTGAAGGTTCATAAAGATCCAGGATGTTATAGAGACAGCAAATGAGAAGCTGGCTGGAATTGGGACATAAAAGAGAATCTGGACCACGCTGTGAAGAGCTTACCTTGCTTAGGCTGAGGAGCCCCTCCTCAGCAGCAATTGTGGGGGAGCCAATGAGGAGTCTATGGGGATAGCACGGGTGAGCAGGACAGTGTGGCCAAGCTGGGAATCTAGAACGGGAGCTCCTCGTGTGGAGCTGCTGTCGAGGCCGCCTAGCTTTAGTGAGTGTGGAAGGGGTTTCCAGGCGTCCATGGAATGATGCTGACATCTCAGCCTTTATGACGGGGATCCACAGTGGGTGGGTGGCCAGAGGAGGGTCAGGAATGGCTGAAGGATCAGCAAGGATCTGCTTATTCTCAGGGACCTGAGATAACCCTGTGTGCTCCTAAGTCCCCCAGCTTCTTCCTAACAGGGCATGAGGAGTCGCCTGAACCTGAACAGTCTGTGACATGTGGCGGGTCTAGGTGAGCCAAGTGTGGGGAGGGGGTTTCTGAGCGGCCATGGTGAAAGAGAAACTTGCCCAAGGAATCTGTGGAAAGGTAGGGGTCTTTCCTGTCCCAAGCAGCTGCATGACTCCTAGGAGCTCAGTTCATGTGAGGCAGGAGGACTGATTTAAGGTGGGCCAGGGGGCAGTGGATGGCTACAGTCCTCCTGTAGGTTATAGGTTACTCCTGTAGGACCTGAGACAACGGCATACACATTGCAGGCAATGCCCCCACAACAGTCAGACCAGACCCCTAACTCGTTATAAAGGATGGCATTGGTCAACACGGAGGTGGCATAGGCGTTTCTGTGTAGACACAGGAAACTTCCTGACACTCTGAGAATGATAGGCGTGTCCTGGGAGACCTAGCAGCAGTCACTGGGTAAGTCGGGATTTCTGTTACATGTAAAGCAATAGATGAGCAAAGCCCCCGCCCTCGCTGGAGCTACCGTGAGAGTCAGATATGAAGTCCTGCTGTCCGTGGGTGACAGCAGGCTGAGAAGTTAACTGTTAGGACAGCTGAGGATCCACAGGGACATTGGACCCCTGTTCCTACAGTCTCTTTCAGGCTTGTTTTGTAGGCAGCCAGCAGGTGGGAGTGTGTGGGTGAGGCTGACCCTGCCCATGCAAATGCCTCATTTCCATGCTCCTCCCACCTCAGCGCCCCAGCCCGGCAGCTCTCCCTAGAAGGCCCCTTTAGGCTGAGCTTTTCAGAAAAGCTTGATAGCTGAAGGTAGGTCTCTGATACCCTAGGGCATTTCTGGAGGATAAGGGCTGTACACTCACCTTCTGGACCACGAGGGCATGGGCCAGGTTCAGAAAGCTTGGGTGGGCTCTGTGGTAGAGGTGGCCCATCTCACACACAAAATTATCTTCTTTCTCTTCCACAGAATAGTAAAGAATCTGGACTTCATTGTTTATAAGTTTGACAACTATGGGAAAACATTTATTAAGAAGCAGAAATACAGCCCTGATGCCTTCATCCAGGTGGCCCTCCAGCTGGCCTTCTACAGGTGGGTGAAGGCAAGATGAGCCTGCACCCAGGCCAACTGTCAAATCGGGTGCCTTAGAGTCTAGAAGCATCCCGAAGGGAGGTGTGACTTTCAGGGTCGGGCAGAGCGCTGGAGGTGGCCAACGCCAGCTGCACGGAGGTGTTGTCATCTGAAGTAGGTTTCAGGTCAGAATCAAACTCCAGAAGAAGGATAGTGTCCTAACTGGGGGAACCGCCTGAGCTGGGACCCAAGAGAGTAGGGAGAATCAGGTAGATTGGGAAGACCAAGAAGCTGCAGAGACTGTCCTCCACGTGATTCCCTCCACCCATCTGAGCCCCTGTGGTGTGACCCCTATCTCCCTGGTCTTCCAAGCCTTGTTCAAGACATGGAAGCAATGACACCCACCCCACCCCAATTTAGTCTAATCACAGACTAGAGGCTCCTTATTCATTTTTCCCTTTACTGCACCCACATACCCCCATATCAGTTCTCCAGATGTCTCTCAAGTCTGCTGTCTGTCCTCTCTACCATCGCCATTGGTCCCTCCAAAACGATCAACAACCTTTGCTTGACCAGCTGCCCCATACGCTCCATGGAGCACGGCTCCTATCTGCGTTCCCCATTGTCTTGTATTCATGAAGAGAGGGCTTGGACATGCGCAACTAAGACTAACGCTTGCTGTCTGGTACTCCTGGGGCCCACCCTTGTGCTTTGCGGTCCTCCTGTGAACTGTTTGGCCTCCAGACCTTTGCCTTGGCTGTGAATCTGCTCTCTCGCCTGTCACTTCCAATGGAAATGTCACCTCTCAGAGGACTGTCTGGAGATACTCTTAGTAGAAGCAAGCATCTTGAGCTCTGTTGTCACCCAGTTTCCTATCATATCAAAATGTCCCTCCAGGAGCTGACACACCCTATAAAGGTAGTTAAGACGTAGAGTCACGACTCATTGTGTGACACTAGACTTTCATTGGTCTGAGCTCTGTTGTCTTACTCCTTACCCTCAACTCCACAGACGTTACTGGTTGATGGGAAGTGGGGATTCTGCTGGTCAGGAATGCAAGCCTGGCCGTGTTCACCTGGTTTCCATGCTCAGGGAGAAGGGCTTTGTCGTCATCAGCATGAGCTCTGCTAGAATGGCCAGGACACAAAAACAGTGGGTGGGGCTGCCAGGCACAACCCTTCCCATGAGAGGCACCTTGACATGCTTGTGGGCCTGGGCATCCGTCCACACTCCCCTTCCTCACCTGCTTTGGCTAGAGGCCACGGCTGATCCGTGTAAAATAAAGCAGGCTTCCCTAAGAGGTGTGATGGATTGCCCTCTCGTCTGTGCTGTGGCATCAATCAACACTCATTGGGCCTCACAGAAAATTCCAGGTTTCCTACAGATTGGTGGTGTTTGTTTTTCAAAAGCAACCATCACCTCTTCATTTATATCAACATGGTGTCCCCAGTGTATAAAAGTGTACACGGTTCTTCACATCAAAGACTTGCCAGCATTCATCTTTGGAGTTCTCCTCTAGAATTCTATTAACATTAAAATGAAATACTACGCCACGTCATGTCAGAGCTATGAAAATAAAGCCTGCCGGGGCTATTTCTCTTTCAGTATTTATGACTCCCTGAGAACAAATTACTGTTTGCCATCCATCTTTTGTCTTGTTCAGGCTGTATCGGCGACTGGTGCCCACCTACGAGAGTGCATCCATTCGCCGGTTCCAGGAAGGCCGGGTGGACAACATCAGATCGGCCACACCAGAGGCTCTAGCTTTTGTGCAAGCCATGACTGACCACAAGGCTGCCACGCTGGTAAACCCCTCTCTGCCTTAAGGAGCCACAAGGAGGCCCATGAGGCTGCCGTGGCTGCCCGTGCACTCTGTTCCACAACACGATTCTCTGGCTTCGGCTGCCCTTACGCCCTCTCCTTCGTCCACAGGCTTTTGAGAAACTTCAGCTGCTAAAGTCAGCCATCCAGGCCCAGACTGAGTACACAGTCATGGTGAGTGGTGGTGCCTCCCCAACACCAACTGCTCAGTGACTCAGCAAGGCTACCAACTCTGATTTTTATTCATTTTTAACTTATTTTGTGGCACTGGGGATTGACGCTGTGGTCTTACACAGGCTAGGCAAGTGCTCTGGCACTAAGCTATAGGCTACGTCCTTTTTTTTCTTTTTAAATTTTTCATTTAAAGTCTCATTATGTTGCCCAGGTTGGCCTTGAATTCACTATTAGCCCAGGTTGGCCTTTGATGTGGGATCCTCTTACTTCAGTCTGTCCAGTGGCTGGGACTGGTTACAGACTTCTACCACTGGACAAGTCTTATTTCTACAACATGGGCAGCACAGCCTTCCTGCCCTCCCCAGGTCCCACCAGAGAACAGTAGTATTTGAAATCTGTTGATATAACCGTAATTATGAATACTTGTAGCCTGGTCCCTGGAACACTGGGAAGGAATCAGAATTTATTATCACCCAGGGCTACTTTTCCCTCTTGATTGCTATATGTTCATTTATGTTGCCTGTGAACTGAAGGTCTTTGCTGAAAATTAATAGTGAAATCAAAATTGTGTGGGAACTATTTCTCTAGTTTGAGGGAATAATTTATTTTTTAATATCTCAAAGCCATTATTTGCATATAAACAATGGGGTTCGAGCTAGTGATCAATATGCTAATTACAGATTACTCAAAAACAACCAGAAGGGTAGCAAAAATCTATGAGAAGAATTGATGAAATTTTTCTCTATGTACTTGAAGGCAAACACAAAATATGTGGGGTTTTAGAATCAGTGTAGAATTTCCTCTGACTCCATCCCTAATCATCTTAATAACTATGCTTGTTCTGTTTAAGCACTGTATTAGCCTGTGCTCCAAGTACTCAGGAGCCCAGAGCAGGAGGATCACAAGTTCTAGGCGAGCCTGGTATATGAATGAGACTCTTGTCTCAAAAATGTTGCTTTCCATTGCTCCAGCAAAATAGCTGAGGCAGCCAGCCCACCAGCACAGAAAAGGGAAAGGCTGAAGCTTTAGAGGTGTCAGCCCATGGTTGGCGGCTTCTAGGACTTTAAGGTCTGTGGAATGGCAGTATATCATGACAGGGAGGCCACGATGAAACAAAACCATTCCCTTCTGTGTTAAAGTAAAAGGGAAAGAAGAAAGGGAGGAGCTGGGGTGCCCCATCCCCTCAAGGACATGCCCACAAGCATAGGAAGTCCTTCCACTGCTCTCCACCTCCTAAAGTCTGTGAGACACCTTTGGAAACATGCGAGAACCAAATGCCAGCAAGAGTCCTCTCTGTATTCCGTGAGTTATCCTTTGTCCTGCTTCATGCTAGGCAGTGTGCTACATACGGAAACAAATCCCTGTACACTGTCAGTATGGAGTTTAACACGGCATTGAGCTGGAGGAGCTTCAAAGTTATGTTCAACCTCAGGGAATCGTGAGGAGTGACAGGGAACAAGGAGGAGCGTGCTCTCTCCCCTCCTCTGGAAAGCTGAGATGAATTCCCAGTCCGTAATGTGAGGCAGGAAGGATTAAGAAAGAGAAGGAAGCCTGAGTTGGTGGTGCAGGCCTTTAATCCCACCACTCGGGAGGCAGAGGCAGGCAGATCTCGGTGAGTTCCAGGACAGCCTGGGTCTACATAGTGAGTTCCAGGACAGCCAGGACTAGGACTACACAGAAAAAACAAACAAACAAAAAAAAAAAAAAAAAAAAGGAAGGAAGCCCTGGAGAGAAAGCAGCATGTTGTAGACGTATCTTGTGAATACACGTGATGAGAGGAGCAGCTTGCAAAGGAGCAGAAGAGCTAGGTTGTCTGTGACACCAGCGTGGGACAAAAGAAAAACAACTGCATTGTGGGAGTGGCTTGGCAAACAGAAGCTGTGTGGCTGGCCAGGGTCAAAGGGCTTCTGATTCAACACAGCATGTCAAACAAGAGCTGAATGTCCCCCGCTCTGAAATTTTCCAGAACACTCCGAGGGAGAGAAAACTGGAGAAAAGGCGACAGCAAAGCGTTAGAGCTGGAAAGTAGAGCAGACGACAGTGGCTTCGGGCACCAGCAAAGAAGCTGGAAACCCCAGCGACCTGCACTGCAGCACCCCAGGGTAGCTCAGGCACCCTGGATGCACCCAAAATCGGGGTGTGTGAAAAGAAGAGGATTATTTGATGGGTTTTTCTGTTTGGCCTGCTCTAATAGAACCCCTTGAACGAATAATTTATCAATAGCAGAGATTTTCCACATTTCTGGAATCTGGGAGTCTAAGATCAAAGGGACAGCAGGTGAGGCTGTTGGCCCCTGCTTCCAAGATGGCTCCTGCTTCTGCATCTTCCAGACTGGAAGGATGCACTATGTCCATGTGGTAGAAGGCAAGAAGGCTAAGCTGTGTGGAGGCTCTCTTACAGGAGCCTCGACAAGGACAGAACACTCATGTCCTTACTTACTAAAAGTATTCTCACTCTCTCAGATTTATTTATTACATACACAGTGTTCTGCCTGCACACCAGAAGAGGGCACCAGACCCCATTACGGATGGTTGTGAGCCACCATGTGGTTGCCGGGAACTGAACTCAGGACCTCTGGAAGAGCAGTCAGTGCTCTTAACTTCTGAGCCATCTCTCCAGCCCCAAAGCATGGCCTCTTAATGTATTTCATTGACTAGTCACTTTCAGAATATGGATTTTCAAGATTTCTTTTTCTATAAATAAGAACGGAAAACTCTAAAAACTATTATCAAGAAATAAGGTTCTAGGGAGGAATGTAGTAGAAACTTCAGTGGAAATACTGGGAGACAATATGAGGCAAACTGCTTTAAACACAAACAAAAAATGGGTGAGATATAAGAAATATAGGGTGGGTTGTTTGGGTGAACAGTACCCCAAATAAAAGTTGTTCAGAAAGAGAAACTGGAGAGTGGGGGGGTCATCAACTCAGCAACTCAGGGACACAGCAAAGGAGAGCTCAGTGGGGGAGAGCTTGCCACCAATGCCAGGGTAGCCAGGCCTTCCGGGGCTTTCCATACCTAGCTAAACTGTCATCAGACTTGAAGAGAGAAAAAAGACATTTTAGACAGAAGAAATTTACGTTTGTTACTTACTAAATAATCTTTCTAAAGGCTGCATGTCTCCGAAGAGAAAAATGAGACATCAAAGCTAACAAAAACCAGAAGGTTCAACACACACAAACTAAAAGGAAGTAGGACTCCCCAGTATAATGCCAAAAGGAGACAGGAAGTCAAGAGCTACTCAGCAGATCTAGAGAACAATTAGTACGCAGAGGCGGCATGAGAGAGAGGACAAACGACGTGATAGCCGCATTCAAGAACTAGTTAGAAGTAGAAGAACAAACAGTTTAATAAGAAAGGAATTCTATAGATAAACTGGTAGAGCATTTGCTTAACATGTGATAGGTCCTGGGTTCTGATCTAACCGTAATACATTATGAGACCCAGCTGCGGATGTTTACATAATGACAGCATCTAAGCCTTAGCTGTTGCTCAAACACAAAGAGCTGAAATATGATCTATTGGAAAGACTGAGAAGTATGAGAAGGTAGAGGAATCAGAAGTTAATGTTTTATTTCTTTTTACTTTTTTGGTTGGTTGGTTGGTTTTGAGACAGGATTTCTCTGTGTATCCCTGACTGTCCCGGAACTCACTCTGTAGACCAGGCTGGCCTTAAACTCACAGAGATCCGCCTGCCTCTGCCTCTGGGATTAAAGGCCTGTGCCACCACCACCTGGTTTACTATTTTATTTCTTCTAACATGAAGTTTATAAGTAAGTCTGGAAAATGCAGTTGGCTCTTAAGCCAGAATTCAGAACAATGAACATAAATAATATCAGAAGGAGTAGCTAAAAAGGCCTTGGCCCCGTGGAGTGGGATCAGACAAAAGCGACTGATCCAGGAGTAGGCAGCAGAGAGAGGAGAGCTAGGAAGGCAGCTGGTAGATGGCACTGGTACCAGTCAGCCATGACAGCAGGGGAAAGACACAGGAACAAGACAGCTTGAGTGTTATTTGATAGAGATAGGAAGGAAAGCCCCACTCCACCCCCATGGGACGGCATGGTGGCTCAGGCCCCTTCTCCACTCTCCTATCGCTCAACACTCCTTCTTCCCAGCCTCTGTTTTTGATTTATAGTTACATGCAGTTCACACAATGGTGACTACCGACACAGACCTCTGCCCCTCTGCCGTCCACGGTAGCAGCATCAGGGATACAGTAGCTCCTGGAGGTCCGAGATGGGGACCGAAATCCAGAGTCCTTGTACCCATGGCTACCAACCCTCTAAAGGACTGTTGATTGACAAGAGCAGCACCAGCAGGCTGCTTTGCCTAACAACTCCCTGGGTGGACCTTCACAGTGAAAGGATAGAGAGAGGTCACCAGAGAAGGGAAAAGTGTCCCCTACCAGGGAGGGCTTGGAGTCCTTCCTCTCTGGACCAACAGGGCATATAAGAACTAAACCATGGGACCTGGCTGTAGCTCCCTGGTAGAACACTTGCTTAGCATGTATGAGGTGCCCGAGTCCATCTCCAGCAACACCTCACATAAATAAATTAGGAATAAAGTTAACTGACGTTTTATAACTTGTCTTTTCAGACTGTAATTAGATAACTTCAGAGAGACCGGGGCCTCTGTGGCATCTTTATGCATTTGTTCTTAACGGAAGGAGAGCAGTTGTCAGATATGAATACATGCCTTGTAAACCTAAGCAAAGGTCACTGGGAAAGGACGGTTTCAACCCAACAGGGACTGAAACAGCTAAATGGCCACCATACATAACCAAAACCCCAAAAGTTGGATTAGTCTGGTGGTAACCAGGTTATGACTACTGTCTAGGAACAGTCTCCTGAGTCTCCCCACTTCTAAGATTGCCCCAAATAAAGACATAATCACAAACAAAAAGCAAATAAAAGAGTGTAGATGCCATCTACCCTGCCTCAAGGTGGAGAGACCTAGAAGAAGGCTCTGGCCCTAGTTCCAGTCCCTGCATCCTCTCCTCAGGCCATCCTGAAGTTCTCCCTCTTCCTTTCCACCTACTGAAAAGAGTTTAACCATATCCGTGCATGTGTGTGAGTGTGTGTATGTGTGTGTGTGTGTGAGAAAGAGAGAGAGAGAGAGAGAGAGAGAGAGAGAGAGAGAGAGCCCACATCATCCAGCTAACATTTTTGCCTTTAGCATCAGCAGAGTTTTTGCTCAGCAATCTACTTCCTGACTTAATTCCTGAGATTATGAATCAAATTTAAGTGAGTCTACACATTGTCCCAACTGGGTGATGAACCCTGTCCCAGATTTGTGCCAGAGGGTGAAGAATTAGTTATGGTGCAATTCTAACCCTGACAGCTTTGACACCCCTCCCCTATTCCTGGATCCAACACATGAGCCAGCCTTTTCCCCACATTCTCTTTACCTGGCCAGAGCAGGCTGGTGCGGGGAGCAGGCTCACCCATTCTTGTGTTATAGTAGCATGCTGGTGCGGCTCTGTAGCGGGCAATGGCTCACCTACCTTCCATCCAGACATTTGTAAGGTAGATCCCAGCCCTCTCTGGACAGAGCCTGTGTGTACGGCAGTACGTAAGAGCAGGGCAGGGCAGCAGTGGTGCACGCCTTTAATCCTGGGACTAGGGAGGCAGAGGCAAACAAATCTCTGTGAGTTCAAGGCCAGCCAAGAGCTAGTTCCAGGGCACTCAGGGCTGTTACACAGAGAAACCCTGTCTTGAAAAACCAAAAAAAAGAAAGGAAAGAAGGAAGAAAGGAAGGAAGGAAAGAAGGAAGAAAGGAAAGGAGTGGAGTCCAGGAGCAGAGGCTGCATATAAACCAGTCAGCCTGAGCGGAAGATCATACAGTCATACCGGCTTTCTACCCAGAACAGTTTAAGTAAGGGCTGTGACTGCTGGAGTCATCCCGGGTTTTGAGGATACAAGAAGGGGAGAGAAGGTAGAGAGAAGTGCAGGTCTCATTGTCTTCTGTGTTCCTGACTTCTAGGCCATAACCGGCATGGCCATTGACAACCACCTGCTGGCACTGAGGGAACTGGCACGGGACCTGTGCAAGGAACCACCCGAGATGTTCATGGATGAAACATACCTGATGAGCAACCGGTTTGTCCTCTCCACCAGCCAGGTACAGCTTCTGTATGTGTGACCAGGGCCTTGTAGTAGAACCAGGGAGTTTCCGAAGACATTATGCCTGGGAATCTGTCTTTGTCTCTGTTATTTTTAACATGCATACAACACACACATTCTCTCTCTCACTCATGAGTATATTTGCATATTTAATATATGTCAATCATGCAAAAATTATACATCCTTACAGGGTACAGTGTATGCTGAATTATCTGCATATAATGGGTAGCAGTCAAATCAGCCTAATTGGTATATCTATCATCTCAGTGATTTAAAGAACATTCAAAGTCCTTTCTATTAGCTACTTTGAAATATTTGAGTTATTGTTGTCAACCATATCCTTTCTACTGTGCCATCAAACATTGAAGTCAAAAAATATCTTCTTCACTCTCAACCCCATCACCCGGGCTCTTCTTTTTATTACTTGTGTGTATTTCTAGGTATGTATACATGTATGTGAGTGTATGCTCTATGTCTGCTGATGCCCTCAGAGGTCACAACAGGGTGTTAGATCCCCTGGAGCTAGAGTTACAAGCAACTGTGAGCTAACTGCCTGATATGAGTGCTGGGGATTTAACTTGGGTCTTCTGGAAGAGCTACAAGCTCTTTTAACCACTGAGCCATCTCTCCAGTCTGAGGCTCTACTTCTTAAGTGTTCTGTCCCCTTCCGTAGAATGATCTAAATGCTCAGGGAATTGATATTCTCCTACCTCCTAAGCAGAAATGGCCACAGGCTTCCTTAGCCAAGGTAGGCAGCCTAAGAACACACCCATCTGGGGGCTCTAGGGATCCTGCAGTACTGTTTTGCTGTCTGTTATGTGACATGTGACTTTATTCCAGGCCTGCTTGGAGGGTCCCCAATTAGGTCATGGGGATTATGATAATGAACGGCCAGGCCACCAGCCTGGTGCTGTACATATGCCGATGGTGTTAAAGGACCACAACCACAGGGACAAAATGACATTCTTTAGTGGGGAACTGCAGAGGAGGGGAGGACACACCTGAACACGCCAGCCTCCTGAAATCACCTTCTCTGCAAACCGCTGGACGTGGGCGGCAAAGGGGGCCGACAAAGCAACGTTGAGGATAAAAGCCCACTCAGTAATTTAATCTTGTCATTAGAGCCGTGAGCTTGCAGACATGAATAAATGAGAGCAGAATACTACAACATAAATTCTTCAGGAAACCATCCATGGGCAGAGAGTGCTCTGGAATGGCTTCATGGCCTCAGGCATTGCACGGCAAATTTATCTGACAATGCAGTGACTCTATTAGCAAGACTGATGGCTTGTTCTGCCCCATTAAAGTGGCCAGTGTCGTTTGAGAAGGTCCAAGAACACAGCACCAGAAACCTGTGGAGTGAACACGGACTCTGTCCCACGTTACATGGGCCCAACAATCCCTTCTCCTTTTCCAAAAACCAACTGATAAAATGAGGGTGGGGTGTTAGCCGTTCTTTCCCGCCCGAAAGTGGCGCTGATGGCCTGGGCTTTCCAGAGACACACTTTCTTGGTCACAGATCTGTATTGCAAAGCCTCAGCCCTCTGAATTCAAAACATCTTAGACAATTAACTAAAATTCCAGGTGACAGCAGGTTTGGAGGTGCCCGGTGCCTAGTAATTGTGCACGGGAGGGCCTCGGGGAGGAAATCAGGCCAGCCAGGCGGTACTGACAGTAATTACGGATCTGGGGGAAATCAACAGAGAAGATGGGCCAGATTTCCTCCAGTTCATAAATTACTCCCTGTGGGAAGCCATCTAATGGTTGGGTGCCACCAGGGTGCTGTTTAGTAAATTAGCCTGATTGCCACAGCGCCTCAAATGGCCCCTAGATGAAGGAAAGTCTTGGCTCAAGCCGGAGCAGCAGGTCGCCCTGGGAGCTTCCAGCTCTACAAGCAGAGCCAATTGCACACTGGGGAGTGGGTTGGGGTCTCTCTCCCTCGACACCATGCACCTCGATGGCTCCTCTTTATTACCCTAGCCATGTCCATTCATTCATGCCAACACATTCACTCTGCTCAAATCCAGGATGAGGAGACAGACAGGGAAACCAACAGCACTGAGGTCTTAGGAACTAGGGAATCACCCGCCACATCCTAACAGGTTCCAGGCTGAATGCCCCAGTAAGCTGCTTCTGACCTGTGCCCTTCTCCAGGTGCCCACAACCATGGAGATGTTCTGCTGTTATGGCCCCGTGGTCCCCAATGGATATGGAGCCTGCTACAACCCCCAGCCTGAGGCCATCCTCTTCTGCATCTCCAGCTTTCACAGCTGCAGAGAGACCTCTTCCGTGGAGTTTGCAGAAGCTGTGGGAGCAAGCCTTGCCGACATGAGAGATCTCTGCAGTGCAAGGCAGCCTGCTGAGGGCAAGCCAGCAGCGACCAAGGAACACACTAGAGACCCAATCAAGGCAAACAATCTCGACGCTGGCCACTAGCCCGACCTCCTGCAGGAGCCAGACCCTACCAAACCCTGCTCCCATCCCCCAGCCCAGCTTTTTGTTGCTCCCCTGTCCTCGTGGGCCCAACCCATCAGGCTGTATGGGGAGGCATCACACAAACCTGGCATGTTAGGAGAAAGAGTCCCTCATGGTTTTTCAAAGTGGTCTCTGGCCTTTACCAGTGGAAATGAGACTAGCTCAGCTTGGAAGCAGCCTAGGTGGGCTGGGAGCTTCCTCTAGGATCTGCAAAAACTTAACATTTGTACTTTGTTCCCAGCAGCACCCAGCAATGTGCATAGTAGTTCTGCCTAGCGACAGGATGCATCATCTCGTCACATGGTATGGACCCAATAAGACATGAGGGTAGAGGTTAGCCCTGGATTGTCACCCACCACCATCTCTCCACACACTCGCAGATACACATAGAGCCCGAGGCCAATTAAAATACAGAGGCCCATACCCCCAAAGACCTTCCTTCCATGGTCCACAGCAGTCTTCCTTGAGTTCAGATAATCTCATGCAGATATTCAGAAAGAAAAAACAGAGCAAACCAATTTTCTTCATTTGATATCGGAGGGAACTAAGTCTTTGGGCAAGGCTGTGAAGATTAAAGGTTGGGTTGTGAGTAAAGGCTGCATGGTCGCAGAGCCCTTTGGGATGACACTGTCCAGCAGGCATTGTCTCTGTGATCTTCTTTGAACTATTTACAATGATCTGGACGAACCAAGCCCATACTTGCAGTTCTCTATCGGGAAATGAATTCACTGTATTTACTGGATATATCAAACCATGCACTGTGAGGGCGTCAAGACTCATGAGTGGCAGACCCTTGGCTGGAGGGAACACCTCCTCCCTTAGGAAGAGACTGGAAGCTGGCCTTCCCCCTCCAAGAACAAAGGCAACACTGAGCCGTGGCCACAGGCTGCTCTGTGGGGACCTGGGAAAGGAGACTCTCTCATGTGTCCCTAAAGAGATGGAAAATGAGACAGTTGTTTGAAGCAGTGATGCACTGAAAGTATGGCCACCTTATCATACTGCTACATTGCCAAATTATATATGAAGTTGATGTTTGGGTTCTATTTTTATAATATAGTTCTAGATTTATGGTAATATGTACATTTTAATTTATAGTTCTGTGCTTTAAAGAAATACATGTATGAATAAAGAACAGTATATTGAAAGTATTCTATTCCAGATATTTATAAGGACTATAAGTCTGTATTCAATAAAATGTAATGCCAAGAAAGGTGACGATGTTACTGTTCCTACTGACAGATGGTACAAATTCACAGCTCAATGGCCTGTATCTAGACTCTGCCAGCACCAAGGTCAGAGAATGAGGCTTGGAACATCACATGAAGTCAGGAGTTTGAAGCCAACCTGGGTAGTCTAAAAAGATTCTGCATCTAAAAATAAAAGATACGGGGCCATGGAAGAAAAAGGACGAAGGGAACTGAGTCTTTGCTAATGTAAATGGCAGGCCATATTGTGATTGAGGGAGACACAGGTTTCAGATGTCATTCTGACTGAGCGACAGAAGCTCAGTATAGAGATGGGTGTTCCCTGTAAGCATGTCCAAACATGTGTACAGCGGCATAAAGTAGAGATAAAACCTCCAGTCTCAGAGGCCAGATGCGCGGCTAACAAGCCCAGGGGCACTCCACACTTGTTAAAGATCCTGGGAGTGCTATCGGCCTTCAAGACCATAGAGCCCCTACCTGTAATGTGGGAAATTTGAGACCAACAGTAATTATCGTAAAGACCTAGCATTCTTGCTATAGGCTCACAAATGCATGCTCATCCGGGTCCTGGCTGTAAGACCCTCTCCACAGATGAGCAATCCACAGTGCCAGAATGGAGTCTTCCAGATAGGGACCCCAGGGCTCTCCCAGCAGAACACTGACGTGCCCAGGTGAAGGGAAAATGGCTTAGAATACCCCAGGATGGAGGAGAGGATGAAAGCAATGTGAGCTATTCTTACCTGTCACACATATGGTGGATGGCCTGCAAACAGTCAGACATGAAAATGCAGACAACACAGAGAACAGGAAGTAGAGATAATATGAAATTATGCTTCCTTTCCATTGGGTGGATGCTGCTGTCCGGAGAAGAAGGCAGCTAGAATCCCTCTGAATGGCACAAGAGCAAACATATGTTTCCAAATTATTCTAGAACAGTAGTCTCCTTAGAGGGAAACACCAGTAGCTGTTCCCTTGGTCAGTATATATATATGTAGTTCAACGTGTGTATGTATGTGTGTGTATGTGTGTTTTCTGAGCTTTCATTTCAAAAATCCCTTTACATATGAAGGGTAAGCACAAGGCTCTCCTGGGAAGAGCTGGCCTCACATCAGGTGCAAAGACCTTTCTAAACCAGCTCTCTTTGGTTCCACTCCTATCATGTGCTCCTTCTAACTCTTGAAGGGATTTCTGTTCCTACCTCTGTCCCTTATGTCATGGGCCCAAGAGTTCTGTCTGTGCTCTCTGTTTCTAACTGAGAAGTAGTGATTTGCAGGCTGAGTTGATGCAGAAGGGCTCCTTCAACTATATATATTTCATATATACTAAATATATGAAAACATATATTTAAAGGGAAAATATTTACAGTATATACTGGCATTCAGAAGATAAAAAAATATTCCATCACTTAGAAAGCAGAGGCAGTGAGATCTCTGTGAGTTCAAGGCCACTCTGGTCTACAAAGCAAGTTCCAGGACAGTCAGGGCTGTGTAAAGAAAATCTGTCTCCAAAAGAAAAAGAAAGGAAGGAAGGAAGGAAGGAAGGAAGGAAGGAAGGAAGGAAGGAAGGAAGGAAGGAAGAAGTGCTCACCTTCCAGAAAGAAGGGTGTCATAGCAGGAGCTCCAGGTTTACACATGACATGTCTGTCTGTCCTAGCTTCACTTCTGTCACTGTGTGAAAGACCCTGTCCAAGAGCAACATGCAGGGGGGGAAGGTTTATTGGCTTCCAGTTGCAGGCTGAGAAGTCAGGAGAAGGGAACCTCAAGCACCATATCTGCAGCCAGGATCAGAGGGAGAAGACACACGTGGACCCCTGCTGTGCACTAGCAATGCTCAGCGGGCTTCCTTCACTCTGACACAGTTCAGGGCACAGCCCATGAAAGTGGCCACTCATGTTCAGGGTGGGTCTTCCCACCAACTGTCAAGACAGTTCCAAGGACGTGCCGACAGGCCGACCTGATCTACATAATTCCTCAGCTGAGACTCCTTCCCAGGTGAACCTAGGTGGTGGCGACAAGTCAACGTTTAAAGCTAGCCAGCCCAAGACCCCTCCAGCCCATCCGCACACCGCCCCTTGGGGCTGACAGGATGTGCAAGCCCGTGGAGGATGGAAGAACTACTTAATGTCCAGCACAATTCCCAGAGGCATCTTCAGCCTCTAAAAAGGACTAGAAAAACTCTTCCCATCAGGCCCCTCCCCGCCCCAGGTGAGGCAAGAAAGCCTGCCATCCACTCAAGGTGGTCGATGTAGGGGGAAGAAAGGCATGAGAAATTAAAGCCACAAACTTTGCCATGTGAAGATGAAAAAATCTGAATTTAACACAATCATTTTAAAAGGTCAAATTGGCCTGCTACAATAAGACTCAGAGAGGCACATAGACCACTTCCCACCTTGCACACATCAAACACCCACAGTGGGACACAGTCTATTGCAGATGAGTTCACAGTCAGAAATACAAAGCGAGGAAATAATGTGCATGACAGGAGCGCAGCGGAGAAAGCAAATAGGAATCAGGATGGCGGCAGCTTCGGGGAAACCGATAAACAGATGTGTCGAATATTGCTAAAGACGTTGTTGAGGGAGACAAGATAAGGAACACAGAGGACATGTGGGAGCTGTTGGGGAAGCATCCTAGTTTGCTTCCTGCTGCTGTGACAAATACCATGGCCAAAGGCAGCTTAAGGAGGAAAGGATTCCTTTGGCTGACACATCTCGAACACTCCATCACTGAGGGAAGGGAGAGCAGGAACTCAAGGAAGGAACCTGGAGGCGGGAAGTGAAGCACAGGCCGTGAAGGGTTGCTGCTTACTGGCTTGCTCTCATGGCTTACTCGGTTTGCATTCTGATACAGTGCAGGACCACCTGTCCAGGGGTCATACCACCCACATGACTAGACCTTCCCACATCAATTGTTAATCAAGAAAACGTCCCCCTGAACTGGACCGCAGGCCAATCTGATGGAGGCAACTCTTCCCTCTTCCCAATGACTCTGCTTCTGTGGGACAGACAAAACAAAAGCTAGCACAGGGGTATATTAGACAGAATGTGAGAAAGCACTCGTCAATGAGAAATGACTGAGAATATTCCAGAATCTAGAAAACGATTCTAAAAATCATGGGTCAAAGAAAAGAAGACAGCATAAACTTTAAAATACTTAGAGAATGTTAAAGACATCATCTAACAATGCTGCTCCAAGAATGTCCCAGGGTCATTAGGTCATAGGATACCTTATGATGAACTGCCCCCCAAAGTGATACAAGCCATTGCCATTGTTTTCAGTTACCAACCAGATGATAAGACCCTACTACTTGATTTGGTCTCAGGATACCAATAAATCAAGCTAAACATGAGCTGGAAGTGTGCTAACTTTCATACTGCTGCAATGTGCTATCTAATCTGCTGCTGGAGAAAAGGCGGTAACGTTCTGATCTAGCCATGAACCCTGCGCACTATACAGTACCAATTTGCCAGGCAAGTGTGCTCATTGGTGTCTGACATGGGAGTGTCCGATCACTTTATTGCTGGATTTGAGGCTCTCTCCACAAGAGGAATTCATGTCCGATACTACATACAAACCTGGTCAAAAACGGTGGCTAGGGAGGTCCCAGACCCAAAGATGGGAACCTACTACTATTGTTTGGCTGAATGGATAGTGTGCCAAACTGCCTTCGGGTGTTTATACACATAGACTAGCACCCCTCTCTGAAATGTTCAGAGCAGCTTCTATTTGTAGTTGATGCAGACAGGAAGTAACCGCTGAGTGCCTATATCACTTCCTCCAAGGAATATTGTGGAAGAGGATGTGGAAAGAGTCTAAGAGCGAGAGGAGAGGAAAGGGTGCTATGAAATGCTATTTTCTAAACATGGCGCTATGAAAGATAGCCAGGGAAGGCACTTCCAACTATTGTGCCCATGAATTCCTAGCACCAGTGGCTACCTGCGGAAGATCTTTGGGGTTTCAAATGCTCAAGCCAGGCCCAATGTCATTCTCTCTTCCTGATGACTAAAGATCCAGACATCTAACTCTCACCTCCTCCTCTAGCATCAAGTCTGGCGGCACTCCACCATGCTTGCTTCCATGAGGATAATGGACTAAACCTCTGACCTGTAAGCCAGCCCCAATGAAATGGTTTCCTTTATAAGACCTACTGTGGGCATGGAGTCTTCACAGCAACAGAAACACTAAGACACCAGACTAGTCAAATCACTGAACTCTGGGTTCAGTGAGAGAGATGGTATCTAGAAACAAGCATGGTGGCACACACTTCCCACGCCAGCCCTCAGAAGGTAGCAAGTGAGTTTGAGGCCAGCCGAATCCACATAGCAAGCTAAAGGACAGCCAGGGTTATATAGAGAGACCTTGTCCAACAGGAAACCCCGGGTAGCAGGCTGATAAGAGGGCTTGGTGAATCCAGGCTCTGGGCACCAAGGCTGATAACCCTGGAACCTACATAGAGACAGACAAGCCCCACACATTGACCTCTGACCTCCACACGCACGCCACAGTGTGCACACACACATATAATTAGGCACAAGGACGAGATGAAATATGAAAACAGATTAGCAGTGAAATCAAGAAGAACGTCCTTCTAAAGGCTTTACAAAGAGTAATCCGATCAGTAGTACTCCAGTGAAGAGTAGATTTTTGTCTTCTAAAAGTACACAAAGTTTAGGGAAAACCAATCGTTAGTGTCTTAGGGTTACTACTGCTGTGATGAAACATCACGACCAAAAACAACTCGGGGAGGAAACGGTTTATTTGGCTTACACTTCCACACTGCTGTTTTTCATTGAAGGAAGCCAGGACAGGAAGCTGGAGACAGGTTCCTCTGATGCAGAGGCCATGGAGGGGTGCTGCTTACTGGCTTGCTCCTCTTGGCTTTCTCAACCTCTCTTTTAAAACCCAGGACCACCAGCCCAGGGATGACCCCACCCACAGTGGACTGGGCCCTCCCCTCTCCATCACTCATTAAAATACCCTACAGGCCTACCTGCTGACAACCTGGTCTTCGCTAGGCATTTTCTCAATTGCGGTTCCCTCCTCTCAGATGACTAGAGCTTGCGTTGACCTTGTAAGGACATACACAATGTTAAAACTTTGCAACTTCAAGAGTTAGTTGAAAACAGGATATCTAACTAGGAACCTGAGCTCACGCATAAACCATGAGATGTTCCTGACGGCAGGCCACCTGTTACTACCCAGCTCTGTGGTCTGTCAGGGAACAGCAGAAGCAACCACTTTGGGGAGAGGGCATGCTAACAACAATTCACACCTGTTGTTATGTGAGACCAACTCCTTTGACCCAAACTGAACCCAGTTGTGGTTTTTGCCTATACATGTAAGTCCCAATTGAGAACGGCGGGGGGGGGCCTCTCCCTACTGCGCAGCATTGTGTATGGTAGTTGAGCTCCCAGCCTGGCTTGGACTTTGTGCGCTGAATAAACCTTGCTTTTGCATTCTGGACTTGACTGGATTCCAGTGGTCCCTCTGGGGGTCTCAACTTGGGCACAGTAACATAAAACGAGCCAGCACAATTAGGTCCTTCCAAAGGGCACGAGGCCATACTGACCAGGATGAAGAGCACCGGTGTCCCGGACTGTGCAGCCTTTCTCTGTAGATTGCTGTGCTCAGCTGTGTTGTGAGTCACTTCCTGCTATTCAGTGGTGCTGTAAACTCAAGGTCCCGGAAAAAGCTACGCGCATGTGTAAAAGATTCTACATGGCTGATTGGTTGATCTGAACTTCATGGTTGTAGAGAGTTGCAACGTTCGGATGGAGAACCCACATTATCTTGGCTTATTGGTTTTCCCCTTAATATTTATTCATTGCTAGGGTCCCTGTCTGACCTAAAGTCTTTTCAGCCATTAAAAAAAGTTTTGGAATATATAGACAGACCATTAGCTTTCACAACCCCAAATTCCTGTTTGGGGGAAAGTTGTGCCTTGCACTGCCAGTGTGAAACAGAGCTCAGGGGAGATTCTTTGTGCCCCTCCAAAAGTCAGAATTCTACTGGCAATGGGGATCAACCCATATGTGTCACAGAAGGACAGGCAACACGTGGAAAGAATTGATATTAACACACAACAGTAGCATATGTTGGGAGAACTCATGGGAACGAGTTTTTATTATTTATTTATTAAAGATTTCTGTCTCTTCCCCGCTACCGCCTCCCATATCCCTCCCCCTCCCCCAATCAACTCCCCCTCTCTCATCAGCAGTCAAGGTTCCCTGCCCTGTGGGAAGTCCAAGAACCTCCCACCTCCTTCCAGGTCTAGTAAGGTGAACATCCAAAAAGCCTAGGCTCCCACAAAGCCAGTACGTTCAGTAGGATCAAAACCCATTGCCATTGTTCTTGACTTCTCAGTAGTCCTCATTGTCCGCTATGTTCAGCGAGACCGGTTTTATCCCATGCTTTTTCAGACCCAGTCCTGCTGGCCTTGGTGAGTTCCCCATAGAACATCCCCATTGTCTCAGTGTGTGGGTGCACCCCTTGTGGTCCTGAGTTCCTTGCTCGTGCTCTCTCTCCTTCTGCTCCTGATTTGGACCTTGGAGTTGTAGTCCGGTGCTCCAGTGTGGGACTCTGTCTCTGTCTCCTTTCATCGCCTGATGAAGGTTAATATTCAGGAGGATGCCTATATGTTTTTCTTTGGGTTCACCTTCTTATTTAGCTTCTCTAGGATCACGAATTATAGGCTCAATGTCCTTTATTTATGGCTAGAAACCAGATGTGAGTGAGTACATCCCTCATACAAGATCAAGGATACAAGATCAACTCCAAGAAATCAGTTGCTTTCCTATACACTAAGGAAAAGGAAGCAGAGAGGGAAATCAGAAAAGCATCACCTTTCACGATAGCCACAAATAGCATAAAATATCTTGGGGTAACTTTGACCAAGGAAGTGAAAGATCTATTTGACAAGAACTTTAAGTCTTTGAAGAAAGAAATTGAAGAGGACACCAGAAAATGGAAGGATCTTCTTTGCTCTTGGATTGGGAGGATCAACATAGTAAAAATGGCAATTCTACCAAAAGCAATCTATAGATTCAATGCAATCCCCATCAAAATTCCATCAAAATTCTTCATAGACCTTGAGAAGACAATAATCAACTTTATATGGAAAAAAAAAAAACCCAGGATAGCCAAAACAATCTTATACAATAAAGGACCGTCTGGAGGCATTACCATCCCTGACTTCAAACTCTATTACAGAGCTACAGTATTGAAAACAGCTTGGTATTGGCATAAAAACAGAGAAGTCGACCAATGGAATCAAATAGAAGACCTGGACTTAAACCCACAAACCTATGAACACCTGATTTTCGATAAAGGAGCTAAAAGTATACAATGGGAACGAGTTTTTAATCCTTGCACTTTTCATAACCCTATAAAAATATCGACCATGTTGGTTTTCATAAATGTGTGTTGCGCTCACTAAAAAGGTAATTCTTAGGCTTAGCTAATCACTGTTGGAGAAAACAAAACACCCCTGAATCTCAGGACTGTAGAACAAACGCTTCTGTCTTCCTCGGCCAAAATGAAGCAGGCTGTGAGGCTGCCCTGTCATGGGGTCTCTCATCCATGGGGCCTCCAGGTTCTCCCTGGATTATCTGGGGGGCGGGGGGGGGTTTGAAGGAGAAAGAGGGAGGGAGGAAAGAAGGGGGATAGAGACACAGAGAGAGAGAGAGAGAGAGAGACAGACAGATGGAGACCCTTTTGAGTCTTTATCCCAACCCCAGAGCTGAGTGAAGGGTGAGTTTGGTGAATCAGGTTTTGTCTCAGCCGAGCAGGTTAGCTAGTAAGCAGTGGAAACGCTTCCAGAGAATGGACTAATTGAAAACATGTCCTCACACGTGGGGGCACATGCCTGTAAATTCCAGCATTCGGGAGGTTTCTTCAAAACAAAGACACGACTATTTGTATGTATGTATAAACAATCAATCAAACACAGGGCAGAAAGTAGAGAAAACGCATCGACTCTATCCTGCACGGCCTGCCAAGGCTCCTGAGCCTCTGCCCAGTAAACACAAGCCGCAGGCAGCGACTCATCTTGAGCGACGGTTACTGACAAAACGAGGCAACTTTGGAAAGCGTAGCTTCCTATAGCTGGTCAGTGGTAGACATTCGCCCTTTCCCAGCCAGCACTTACCACAGCAGGGGGAGACTGAGTAAGTTTATGAGGCTATTTAGCAACTCGTCCTAGGCCTGAGGACTTGGGACAAGAAAAACTTGGCTCCGCCCAGATCATGGCCACGCCCACACCACTGAAGGGCAGTTGCCTAGCAGCAGGTGTTGCTCCAGTCCTTGACAACCTCCGGCAGCCAGGGAGAAAGAAGCACCATGCCCAAGCACGCGGTAGTGACCTTGCGCTACGGACCCTACAGCGCGGTGGGCCTGTCCGTGGAGCACCGCACCTACCGCCTGGAGGGTCTGCAAGGTGGGCCACCCCACTGAGTGCCTCTTTTTGAGCCTCAGCCCCTGGGACTCAGGCTAAGTCCTCTACCTAGGCCTCTCTTCCCTTTTCAGACTCCAGGAAGCCTTTATAGGATAACTTAGCCCCTCCTCCCTCTGGTCCCCACTGCTTGGATAGAAACCTGAAAACGAATATGATCTGTGGGCACCCTGAGTGTTACCAGGCAAAATACACAAATAGAGGAAAAAGTACCTAATCCCACATTACAATTTGGGAAATTTAGGGTCAGAAATATTATGTGACCTTCATGGAGTGATAGGGCTGAGATTCTATCCTGTGCTTCTTCATCTATGCAGCGAGGCCTGTGTTAAACGTCTGTCTGCATAGACTCAGGCAGATGGGCTCACTGTTGATCAGGATGTATGTGTTCAGGAGAGCATTGATTACTGAGAGTCGTGCCTAAACCCTCACAGACTAGAGGGTGCATGGGAACCCACCTACAGTGGGGTTACCAGAATGTCATGGCATAAGCTCCAGCTCCAAGAACCCAAGGGACCAAACCCTGTATTAGTCAGGGTTCTTCTAGAGTCACGGAACTTATGGGATGTGTGTGTGTGTGTGTGTGTGTGTGTGTGTGTGAATTTGTTGAAATGACTTATGTCTTACAGGCTGCAGCCCAACAATAGCTAGTTGTGAATGGAAAGTCCAAGAATCCAGTAGCTGCTCAGTCCCATGAGGCTGGGAGGTCTCAGAAAGTCTTCTGTATACGCTGGAGTCCCTAAGTAGGCTCAACAGAGTGCTGGCACAGCGAGGGCAGGCAGGTAAACAAAGGAACCCTCCTTCCCCATTGTCCTCACATCAGAAGGCATGGCCCAGATTGAAGGTGTGTCATCCCGCCTCAGGAGCTGGATCAGAAGACGTGTTTCTTTCCAGCCGCACGCTCTGAATCACAGGCGTGCCCTCCACTTCTGACTGCAGTCCATTCCAGATATACTCAAGCTGACAACCAAGAATAGCCATCATATCACCCACATATGATAAAAAGAAGAGATACGCTGAGAGAAGCAGAGAAATTTAATTAATGTGGCAGAGTGTGGGGGAGAAGGGATAAGGGGTCCAATGAGATCAAATCCATCCCCGGGCCGGGCTACTGACTAAACTTTAGGATTAAATGGAGAAAGGGCCCAGCGGTGGTGCACACCTTTAATCCTAGCACTTAGGAGGCAGAGGCAGGTGGAGTCTGTGAGTTTAAGGCCACCCTGGCCTACGGAGAAACTGTCTCAAAAAACAAACAACAACAACCAAAAATGAAAGAAAGAAAGAAAGAAAGAAAGAAAGAAAGAAAGAAAGAAAGAAAGAAAGATTGAAGGAAGAATTGGTACAGGGACGTTGCAGGCAGAAGACCTGACCCTTCAGGAGCTGGTGGTCTGAATAAGTGTTGAGATGTTGAACTGATGGAGGTTACGCCAGAAGGGCAACACATGCAGGGCCGTCTGAAAGCTTCAGGCAGGGAAATGAACCCTCAGCTGCTCTGAACACAAGTAGAGGGTCACGGGTGGAAGGGGGAGAGGCATAGAAGGACTTGGGTGGTGCCACCCCGGGTTGTAATGAGAACCTCTTGGATCAAGACAGCCAGCCATAAAGGGAAGTTATGCTGAGTAAGAGCAGTGAACTCCCTAGGACAGGAGGCTGGGTAGACCATGGTAAAGAGGATGCCACCAGCATCTATCCACGTCTGGCTAGCAGCAAATGAATGGCGATGCCGTCTACCAAACTGGAAAGCACCAGCTGGGGGCCATGGTTTCAACGATCACTTTCCATTTCAAACACATTTTTTTTCTACTGAAGCCATTTTTATATAGTTTTTTTTAATTAATTAATTTATTTATTAAAGATTTCTGTCTCTTCCCCACCGCTGCCTCCCCTTTCCCTCCCCCTCCCCCAATCAAGTCCCCCATGCTTTTAGCTCCCTAGTTAAATGTACAAAGGAGCCGGGTGGGGGTGGCGCGTGCCTTTAATCCCAGCACTCGGGAGGCAGAGGCAGGCGGATCTCTGTGAGTTCGAGACCAGCCTGGTCTACAAATGGAGTTCCAGGACAGGCTCCAAAGCTACAGAGAAACCCTGTCTCAAAAAACTAAAAAAAAANCCCCCCCCCCCCCCCCCCGTGACCTCGTTATGTCCTAAAGGCCCTGTCTACAAGTATTGTCAGAGAGAGTTTAGACTTTCAGCATACAAAATTGGGAAAGCACAATTCAACCAGAGCAGCAGCCCTCGTGCTAAATTTAATGATGCAAACACGTGTTGAGTAAATAAAACTTACCTGTGTTCCGGAGGCTGAGTCAGCAATAGCTGACAGGAAGTAGTAGGGAGGAGCCAGGTGGAGAAGGGTTTATAATGGAGAGCGAGGAGCAACCCGAGGATTTCTTGGGGAGATGTGAGGAGATGAGCTGCTTGTTATTCAGCCTCTCTGGGAAGCAGGGTTCTACCTCACCCTTTGAATCTTGAATTCTTTAGTAGTGTTGAAAGAGTTGGTGCCTGAAGGAACAGAATTTCCTCAGGCTGCAGGTAGTGGCGGAATTGCAGTTTCTGACTGGGATAGCCGTGGTTTAATAGCCAGACAATTAACGCTAAACATCCCAGGAGGGCATGTTTTGAGGACATAACTACTCATCAGAAAAATAGAGCCCCATGCTTGCAGGGAGAGACGGAACCAGGCAGCTGGCCAGGGATGGGCAGTGCAGAGTGGGAGACAATATAGAAGTACCAGAAGGTACGTGAGCCGGTTCCAGAAGGAACAGGTCCAGAACTGTTGAGCCTGCGTTATCTCCAGAGAGAGATGCACTCGCGGCTGTCAGTCGTGGAAGGCTTAGAGAACGAATGTTCTCATATGTTTCCAATTGGAGGACAAATGGGTCAGTAACCATGGAGGAAGTGTCTATAGAACGCAGCCCACACCACAGAAATCAAATGGCTTCATTTCCAGGTGCCTTCTTAACTGAAAAAGCCCACACACAGGTGGCATACTACCAATGTTTTTGGCAATATTCTTGGTAAAAGAAAACCAGTAGAAACAACCAGAAACTGCAATGGTTTAGATAAATTGCAGCACATCGGTCATGTGACATGGGACGGTGGGAGGCTGGGTTGGGTAAACCCAGCACTGGGGATAGAGCCTGCCTCTGAATTCCCTGCATACCGCAACCTCTCTTCACTTGAACAGGCAGATAATGGAAGAGGCACAAAGGGTAGAATCAGGGTAGATTTTTAAAATTTTGTCCTTTTCTGTAATTTCTAAGGTTTTTTCAGATTCACATCTGCCTTACATTTATAATCTGGTATTTTAGATATACCTATTTTTCAGCAAAAATCTACTAAAGAAGAAAAGAAACATAGAGCCAGTGCATATCTGTAATCGTGGCACTTGGAAAGAAACAGAACCAGTGCACATCTGTAATCATGGCTCTTGGAAGGAAACAGAACCAGTGCACATCTGTAATCATGGCTCTTGGAAAGAAACAGAACCAGTGCACATCTGTAATCATGGCTCTTGGAAAGAGACAGAACCAGTGCACATCTGCAATTGTGGCTCTTGGAAAGAAACAGAACCAGTGCACATCTGTGCACAACTGTGGCACTTGGAAAGCAGAGTGAGGATTAGGCATTCAAGCCAGCCTGGGCTACATGAGACTCTGAAACGGGGAGAACAACAAACGAGGAAGATGAAGAATCAGTCAGGGTAGCACCAGCATTCAGAGGCTGAGATAAGAGGATCATAAGCACAAGGCTAGCCTGGGCTATTCAACAAGACCCTGCTCCCCCCAAAAAAATAAAGTAAGGAAGAGGGGTTGGGGAAAGGAAAGGTAGATGAAGGAGAGGGATAGGGAGGAGAGCAGTGAAAGCAGTTATGGGTTGGAGAGGGATGTGGGATGGGTGAATACTGAGTGTGTGGGTCTCTGGCCTCAGAGAGGCAAGCAGTACAGAGGTAAGGGAATTGGCAGAGCCAAGCCCACAGACTCAGGCTGCTGCTCCCTCTGGGGGAGGGAAGGGTGTTTTGAGAAGATGACAGGGAGCATTTGGATGGCTGGAGAGGTTTGTAAGGTTATCTGCAGGTGGCTGATTTGTAGAGTACATCCATGCTTGATAACGCATCTAATAACCGCTGCCAACTTTTACAGAGGACCTGGTGACAAGGGCCAAGGTGTTAATAGCAACAAAGCAGGGAATATTTGCTCCCCCATCCCCCGCTTTAGACCAGTGTTAACACTGAGCAAGCAGATCTACGCATAGGCCCTCCTCTGTAAAATCTGCACCAGAATTCTGCATCTGACTTTTAAAAACATAGCCCTTTATCGTTTCCCAAAGCCCCGCTGTCTTTGGAAGGATGCCTGATCTTTTCTGATCGTACCATGCCCTAAGCAATCTGAACACTCCTGTTCTTTATTACCCATGAATTATAATCGCTCAGCAAAAATGTCTCCACTAAACCAGTCCTTAAAAGAGAGCTAAGTAATTGCCCTGGCCACAGTCGCTCCTTGTCTACTGTACTTGAGTCTGCCAAACGAGCCATTCAGAGGGATTGGGAGGCACTGAAACGGACCATTAAAAATAGAATCCATCTTTATTTAGTCAAGGCTCCCAAGTGATAGCCTCCATCCCCAGTGATGCATTAGCTGTATTCATTAATGGTCGCTGGCATCATGTCTGCTCTGTGTAAAGGAAGGAGAGAAGCCAGTGGACTTCGACTTCCTACCCAGAAGCATTTATATCATCTACAGATTCCGCATGACTCCGCCAGCTCCGTGAGGACGGAGCCTCTCCTGTCGCCTCCACTTTATCCAGGTCTCCTGTGAGGAATGAGGTGCCACTTCAAAGAGGCGGGTGTTCTGCGGGTGGCTTACCACTTCTGGCTGATTTATGCTGAAGTTTAGCTACTGCCTGTGTACAGACTTTGTTTTAGGGAGCGTATTTATCTGACCTTTCTTTGAATAGACAAACCAAGCGCAACTCAGGAAACCGTGTTCCCTCCATGCCAAGTGGTGGCATTTGCTGAGCTGCAGGGATTCCAAAGTGTCTTCTTCTCTCATCCCTTAGGCCTGCCCCAGCCATGTTACAGCCAGCCTCACTGTCACGTGTCACTCCTCTCTGACAGGAAGGGGATGATGTCCTGAGACCCCCAGTGTGACAACCTCTGAAGCCATTGTCATTTGAGTACAAACCAGGCCGGTGGCCAGTAGCCACAAGGGAAGTGGGTGGGTACCCAGCTTCCGTTTATGTTTGCTGCTTTGGGGAGACAGTGGTGACCCCAGGTACCCAGAGGAGGGCTGAGTCAAGAGACCTGCCCCTCCAGAGCTCAGGTACCTATACCTGGCAGCCCCTAGAAGGAGAGGTGACCCTTTCTTTTGTAGATTGTCATGCAAGAGTAACTCTGTCTCTAATACTCCAAACCCAAGTGCGATCTAAGCTCAGTCAGATGGGAGTCAAGGGGCATGCATCGTCAGGGGATTTTCAGGGGCAGCTGGGAGGTGCTTATTCCTGAGGTCTCTTGAGGGACCACCTGCCTAGTCCTGGTAGCCCCAGTCTCTCAGAGTCCCTTAGGTCTTAGAAAGCTGGCCTTGGGAGTTTGTAACAGAATGACAGCTAGGCTCTTGAGTTGTCACTGTCAGATTCCAGTCCACTCCCCAGGAGGGTCTACAGACTGTGCAAAGCTTAAGGTCCTAGAGACCATGGGACACTTTCCCATGTGCAGCTACTTCCTGTTAGGGAGAAGGGTGCTATGGGCAGGGGAAGGTGAGGCCAGAAATCCCCACCATGAACTGACATCATGTCTCCCCCGGGGAGGAGCTGCCTTCCCAAACCAGCTGGATCACTTCCATTTAAAAAGTCGTTGGTCCAAGCCGAGTGCCCTCTTGAAAGATGTTTAAGATCAAGACACTTGAACAGGATACAATAGCATAAATACACCAAAGGAACAATGCAGGCATTCTTTGGAGAGAGGCATTAGCTGAGGCAGGTCAATTAGGGCTGCCTCCGGGTGCCTGAAGAGCGTGACCATGTTAATGGAGACCCTCACTGAGTCTTTCTCAAGTTTCCTTCTAAAAGTGAAATCAAAATTATGCAATTAAAATGCTCACAGCTGGGGCTGGATGCTCTCGAGCTGATTGAAAGATGAAGAAGTGGACAGGACAACATTTTGAAACAGCAATTGTCTCTGTAATTAAATGCAATTAACTGGCAGAAATGTCTGTTTTTCCATCCTGAAACTGACTGGCATTCTAAGACTTGAAAATAAAAACATGACCCCATCTGATGCCTTGTTCCCTCTAACCCAGAGAGAGATATTCAGCGTTGCACACAGAACGCTAAAGGAATGGGACATACCAACTCTAAGATGGAAGGGGCAACGGGCACATCAGGGAAACTGGAGAAGATGGCCCTGGGCAGGCTAGCTGACTAGGTTGCCAGGCTTGTTAACCACAGACAAGAGACTTAGTAGCCTGGGCTGTAGTGGAGACTTGCCTAGCGCACTGAAGACCTTGGTTCAGTCCTTAGGGGAGGGAGAAGGAAAAGGAAGAGAGATTAAGTCAACAAGTTATATGTGGCTGACCTCTGGGAAAGAGCCACCAGCTGTAAACGCTAGGCAGGCCCCAGACTCATAGGTGAGAATAACGAATACACTTTCTTCTTAAAAGTTTTCTGAGCTGGGCAGTGGTAGCACACATCTTTAATCCCAGGACTCAGGAGGTAGAGGCAGAGGGATCTCTGTGAGTTTGAGGCCATGAGGTTAGGGTTAGGGTTACATCCAGGACAGCCAGAGTGACACTGTCTTGGAGGGGAACAAATTTACTGATTGTTATAGACATTGTAGAGATCGCTAAGAGAATAAAAGTCAGTGTTTCACATAATCTCACCGCAGAGACAAAGGACACTGAGTTCCCTTGCTCTCTTCCTCAACTTTTGAGACAGGCTCTCATTTTGTGGCACAGGCTGGCCTCTAACTCATTATCCTTCTGCCTCAGGCTACCTAAAAGCTGGGATAATAGGCGTGTGCCACTACACAGGGCTCTTCTTTCTTACATATTTTAATTTATATTGCATATATATTCTTAATATATTACACATTTATATCCTTATTTTTGTTGTAATCACAAGTATTACTCTATTTCAAAAGTTCCCCTTTTTTTTGTTTTCTTGAAACAGGGTTTCTCTCTATAGCCCTGGCTGTCCTGGAACTTGCTCTGTAGACCAGGCTGGCCTCGAACTCAGATATCTGCCTGCCTCTGCCTTCCGAATGCTGGGATTAAAGGTGTGTACCACCACTGCCTAGCTAACTCATGTTCTTCACTCAGGCACCTTTGCCAACTCCTTGATGTCAAGGGTAAAACAGACCCAACTCTCTTGCTATACACTGTCCTCTACCAGCCCAAACAGCTTACCATTCCTCAAAAGTCCCGAGAGACCCTCTCTACCGCCCAGCTAAGTTCCTATTTAATGTTTACATGTATATATTATGTGTGTATGTGTTTGTGTATACATCATGTGTCTTAAAATTAGGATTTCTATTGTCATTACAAGACACCATGACCACAACAACTCCTATAAAGGAAAACATTTAATCAGGGCTGGCTTACAGCTTCAGAGGTTTAGTCCATTATCATCCTAGTGAGAATCATGGTGACATGCAGGCAGACAGGTACTGGAGAAGAAACTGAGAGTTCTACATCTTGCTCCACGGGCAACAGGAAGTGAACTGTCACACTGGGCATGGCTTGAGCATATACGAGACCTCAAAGCCCACCTCCACAGTAACACACTTCCTCCAACAAGGTCACATCTTCCAAAAGTGCCATTCAGTATTGGCCAAGTATTCAAACACAAAGTCTATGGGGACCATACCTATTCAAACCACCACATCATGACACACATGTGCACATCAGAGGACGGCTACAAGAGTTGGTCCTCTCCCACTTCAGGTTGTAAGTCTTGGCAGTAAGCACCCTTAACCTATGAGCCATCTCACCATCCTAGAACAGTAAATTTCCAAATTAAAATCTCATTATGAACACATAGCATTATTACTCAGTCATGCTTTTATTATCAGACTTATGAATTGGTCACAGAATTTTGGTATTATATGATAAAAAGAACATCATGTTGCAAAAATCTACCTGTATTTCTGATTTTTTTTTTCTTATATGGCTTCTTTTATGTGTAGTGTTCTCAAAACATGTTTTTGAAGGTTGTGGCTTATGCTATGGATTGCCCTCTAGAAAGGCAACTAAATTATATCTCCATAAGCAGGAAAAGATCTACTGATCATTGTCTCTATAAAGCTAAGCTGTGGAACACGCAGTGGCCACTTCTGAGAGATGGGTCATTTCCTAACAGATCCTCTAAGTCTGGGTAATTCAACAACCTAGAGGTGTTCACTTGGGTATCTGTCTTTGTTTTCTTGAGACTATAAGGATACATTGTGATGGAGGAAGGTCATTGGCTAATAAAGAAACTGGCTTGGCCCATTTTATTGGTTAGAACATAGGTGGGTGGAGTAAACAGAATAGAACTCTGGGAGGAAGAGGAAGTGAGGTCAGACTCTGCTCTGCTCCCGGAGAGACCTGACAGCTCTGCTCTCTGGAGCAGAGACGCCATGCTCAACTCTCCCGGGTAGACTCGACAGCTCTGCTCTCTGGAGCAGAGACGCCAGGCTCCACTCTCCCAGGCAGCTCCGACCCAGTATGGATGTAGGCTAGAATCTTCCCGGTAAGCGCACCTTGGGGTACTTACACACATTATTAGAAATGGGTTAGTCCAGGTGCGAGAATTAGCCTAGAAGAGGCTAGATAGAAATGGGCCAAGCAGTCTTTAAATAAATACAGTTTGTGTGTTGTTATTTCGGGCATAAGCTAGCAGGCGGCTGGGGTGCTGGAGATGCAGCCCCACCGCACTTATTTCAACAACATGGAGATCAGAGACCATCTAAGTACCCAGCGGGTGGTTACGACCATAAACAATAAGGACGAGACCAGCTGCTGTCATCTACGAGGACATAGATATAGGCTAACCTGGAGTCACTCCATGTCACCCTATGTCACCCAAGTCACTCCCTGTTTTCCAGCTGTGTTGGCCAAAGATGGACATGAGATCATCTTGGAGCAGATAGAAGACTGGAATCTGGTGGAGCTTGTGGTAAATGAAGAAATAGTCTTCCAGTGTGATATCCAAGACCTGGAGTTTGGTAAGGCTCTAGGAAGCCTCTGCTCTGCACCCAGCCTCCGCCGAGAGCTCCCTCAGTTTCTACCTGAGTTGGTCAGGGAGTCATGCCTAGAGCCAAATTAGGGTTGTTTTTGCATTTCAAATTCACATCAAGAGCCCTGTTCCCTGAGACATGAAAGACAACAGCGCACACACACATTCATACACACACTATGCCATATACACATATCACACACATACACAGTGGCAATACACATATCACACACATACCACACACACATACCATGGCAATATTCATATCACACACATACCACACACACACATGTGCACACACACATACCATGGTGCATACACATATCACACACATGCACACACACCACACACACATACACAGTCACACATGCATGTACACATGAACACGTGTGTGCACACAAATACCATGGTACATATGCATATCATACACATATACCACACACATGTACACATATACACAATCACACACATGTGCATACATGCAAATACACTACACACATGCATACACACATGTTCCATGACACAGACACACCTCTATATGAATGATAAGATGATAGATTATTGAATCTACCTTTAAAACAAAAAAGGAACTACTAGTTTTAAATATTTTGCATTGGTACAAATTTAAGTTTTTTGTTATACTGTATATATGTTTCTACTATTTAAGGTATTGTACCTATGCATCTCATTTAACAATGTAATATAAAGTTCTAGTCCTTAAAGCTAATTTTACAAACTGTTTAGGATAATTAAGGAATGTAAGTTAGCAATTAATCATTATAACAAACAAACTTGTAGTCATGCATGTATGTTTTCAAGGTTAAACAGATATAATTTAGATAGATAGGTGGTCTTCAAACACTTCAGAGATCTACAGAATATGGCATTTAATATGTTTTAACAACACAAGATTTTTCATGATAGTGAGACACATCTGTTCCTGGCAGCACCAATTTACCTTAAAAAAATATGGATGATGGGCATCAAAGAACCTCCATGTGGAATCTATCTTTATTGTGGAAAACTTAGCCACTGAGCAAGAAACTGCCCTTTCCTTGACTGCTGACAGTATGTTGTTCAAATTGGACAAGCAGGACACAAAAGAAAGCAACTGCCAAGCCTTGTTAAGACAAAGTAGAACAGTCTTTCAAAATCCCTGCTTCATAGTAAAATCTGTCAAATATTCTAGGCTCATATGGCAAAGATGGATGCCCCAATGTTGCAGAGGAACCTTGGGGGACTTCCAGGCAGCCAGCTGTCTCTGTTGTGTCTATGGTTTTGAAGTTGTTTCATGCTTCCTGTTTACTTAGGTAATATAATATCCTTCTAGGGTCTCTGATGAAATTAGAGCCTAGACAGTTATAGTTATACAGGGGTTTTTTTGCTATCAAATTCAGAAAAAAACTTGCAAAAGATATGTAAAGTGTATAAGGTTGAGAAACATAAAGACTTAAGTTATCTATCTAGAAAAAATGTTCCAAGGTTTAAAAAGATATTTTTAGGACAGTCATACAAGTTTTGACAGAAAATGGTTTTGGTATAAAACTTTGGACTCATCAAGATAGAATAAATAATAGGGTAATTTCTTCAGATTTGCCAAATAAAAATGGACTTGACATTGTGAATATGAATATAATTCTTACTTGATAATCGTTCTCATGGTATGTAATTTTACTGTATTAGAGTTAAAACCTTTCCTTTTTATTTAGACAAAAAGAGGGAAATGTAGTGGGATATTTTTACACTGTGTAAAGATGTATTGCTGTAATTGGTGTAATAAAAAGCTGAACGGCCCATTGGCTCGTTGCTAGGCAGGAGGTGTAGGTGGGACTTCTGGGCAGAGAGGGAATGCTGGGAAGAAGGAAGTTGGAATAGCCAGCTGGACTTGGAGGAAGCGGGATGGGCAGTACAGAGATGAGGTAACACCACATGGCAGAATGGAGATTAATATAAATGGGTTGATTTAAATTATAAGAGCTAGTTGAGATAAGCCTAAGCTAAAGACCAAGCTTTTATAATTAATAATCAGTTCCCATGTCATTATTTGTGAGCTGGTGACCCAAAGAAAAATCTGACTACACATACACACACATATACCATGACACACATACACCACATGCATACACTCACACACACACACACACACACACACACACACTCACTCACTCACTCACTCACTCACACTGGAGTGCTGTGCTGCCCAGCTTCTTCTCCAAACACTGGAGACAGCAGAGGAATGAAAATGAAGCTGGGCCAGCTTTCATATATGATTGAATTGGGAGGAAATAAGGTCTGTGTTTAGTTTCTTTTTTAACTTTAATAATGTGTTTCATTATTATTTTCCTTCAAAGTGATTTTTGTTCCATTTATTTATTTCACCTAGACTTCTGAGACAATTAGAGTATACCCACAGTATATCAGCTATCTTCTGCACATTTCTTTGCCCTGGGGGTTCTGTTGGCCCATAGGTTGGCATCGTGTCTATCTCCCTGTGCCTGAGAGTAAGAGCTTCAGAAATCCACTCAGACTCTGCTAGAGGCTACTTCATGTTTTACCTGCCTGTAGCCTTTGAAAACAGGCTCCCTGTATATATAAAGGTATATATATAAAGGTAAATATAAAGGTATATTTAATACTACATCAAACTGTATATAAATCTGGCCAAAAGGTGTGTGTCATTTATTTCCCTAGGGGGTGACGGCAAACTAGACCCACTGTGTGAAGAGGCCAGGATCGCTGTGCTAGATGCCTTCTGATCTCATGGAGCAGACAAAAGAAAGCCAGCTATGCCCTCCAGTCTGCAATACCAGCCAAAGGGGCTTATTGGGCACACGGACAGTGGGATCCACCAGTTAGAACATGGCAATGGCACCTGTCCTCTAGTCTTTTGAGTTTCTCATCTGGCTTCACAGACATTCACAAAGATAATAAAACCACCTCTCTGGCAGCATCTCTCAGTGGCGACCCATAGGGAGAGCCCACCAATATCGGGTGCATCCGAAGGAAATAATAAAATGCAATCTAATAACAGCGCCGTCCCCTAATAAAGTACCGTTGCCAGAAGCATTAGACATTCCTTCTGAAGCAAGCCAAGAACTAGGAACAGGTGAAATTAAAACGCGCCTGGGTAGGGGGTGGGAATGAGGCCTCTGAAAGCCTGGACCAAGCCAGTGTCAATGAAGAATCTGGAAACACGGCTGTCTCTACAGATTTATTTCTTGTGCATACTGGAGTACATTTTTAATCTCTAGTATAAAATTACCTAGGTGAGTTCAAATCTTCACTCGTCCCTGCTGCAAACAAGGAAAGTATCTATCTGCTTTCCTGTTAGCCAGTTCAGCTGGCCGTGCTGAAGGAGGCAGGAAACAGTCTGGGGCAATGAGAGGGACTCTCAGGCTCTCTGTTGGAGAACACAGCTTCATAGAAAGGGACTTAAGTGGCAGGCATTGTAAAAAAAAAAAAAAAAAAAAAAAAAAAGAATCAATCATGCTAAAATGATGTGCACTGGCTTTCCATGTCCTATGCTGTGTGTATGTGTGGGTTAAATTTTTTAGGAATATATATTATATATAGTTATATATGATATAAAGTTATATATTATATAGTACATGTATTTTATATATAGTTACATATTATATCATTAAGAATATACATATATGTTATATATAGTTATATAGTTAAGAATATACATATATTTTATGTATGTTTTTATACATATACACATATATGCGTGTATATCTGTATATTCTTCACTGTAAAAGCACGGAGAGGAGGGAAGCAGACACCACTGCATGGTATCACACATGATGCTGCCTCTCACGTTTGAGAAGACCCCAGCGGAAGTCAAGAGACTATGCAGAGAGAAAGGCGGTTCCACATCCCGTGGGGACCTACACCACCTAGGAAACTGTCCTTCCCCCCCCCCCCGGGAAGTAGCAGGTTCCCCAACACCCCTAAATTACAAAGGCCAGTAGAGATTCCATGTGATGAATTACACCCTTGGCCCAAGCTTCATTTGTCAGATTCAGAGTTGATCAGATTACAAATCACTCAGACCTCTTCAGAAATATTTAATCATCCTCTTCGTAAGAAACATGGAATCCAGTGCAGTTCCCTCCTGGTGTCTGGTGTTGGTTTCCAAGTGCCTTACTCCCTTTAGTCAGAAGCCAGTTTCAGTTACAATGCATGTAGAATTTCATATCTACTTCAATATAAAATAGAGAATTTGGAGGCATATATTTTCACTAAAGAACTGTGAAAAATACAAAGTAACGGAAGAGAACAAGTTCATCATCATTTTGGTCTATTTCCCGTCCGAGTTTCTTCTCTTTAGGCCCAGATATTCACAGAAGCAAACATACACAGAATTTCACTGTGCCTGGTCAAGATCACATTGCAGTTTCTTCTTTTACCTTACCGTTTCCTATTGAGCTTGTTCCCAAGTGGCTGAGCATTGACTGTCTGAGCCTTGTGTCTCAACCACAGATGTTCTTTCTCGTGTGTCAGGAGCTGTCTTAGTCCATTTCGTGTTGTTGTAACTCAGCAGCTGGCCCTAGGTAATACATGAGGAAAATGAGTTTATTTGGTTCATAATTCTGTTCAGTAGAAAGTCCAAGCAGCATGGTGCTGGTGTCTGGTGATATGTCATTACATGGCAGATGACACCCATGTGAGAGATACAGCCAGAGACAAGGGATGGCCTAGCTTTTAGAAGAACATCCTCTTGAGAACTGCGAGACCTGATTCATGATACCATTATGATATCATTATGACTCTTCCACAAAAAGCAGTCATGACTCATCTCCTTCTTATTAGGTTCCACCTCTCAAAGATTCCACCATTGCACTGGGGACCAAACTTCCAGCACATAAACCTTCCAGGAAAAACCTATTTCAAACCATAGGAAAAGGGCTTTCAAGTGAACATTGAAAATAAACTTAAGGGGTGAGCAAGATAACTCAGTGGATAAAGGGGCTTGCCACCAAGTCTAGTGATCTGAGTTCAATTCCCAGGGCTAAGAGGAAAGAACCAACTCCACAACTGTCCTCTTGCACACATACACACAGGCATGCACACGCGTGCGCACACACAGAGTTAAAAGCTAAATAACACTTAAGATTTTGGTATGGGAGCCATCTATCCACATGGTCCCTCTTTGGAAATGACTGGACGTGTCCCCTGTCACTCTGTCTTATCTTCCACTTCCTTGAAGACACGTCCCTGTAGAGAAACCTGCTTGCTCCCTGTCAAGACAAAAGTGCTCTGTGCCTCAGCAAGCTAGACATCCGGGTGCCTTTTAATGCTTTAAAACACCACTTAATTAAATCACATTTCAAGATTTATGAAATGACAAATTGATGCCACTCGTAGTGGAATCCATAAAGTGTCTTTTTTAGAATAAAATTAAAGTCATGGTTCTGTCTTAACAGTTTAAAATGAAATTTGGAGTCTCTAAGCTTTTTTCATCATTTTAAAATTGTTTAATGAATAGATTGGCTGGGGGCGGGGAGTGCTTGCAGGACCACTCTTGAAGGCCTGCTGACCACACCTACTTCCTCTGTTAGTTTTACCCTTCAAACCCATGTCCCGCGATCCTGTGAACCTCAGCTTACGAGAGCAATCACAGGACCATTTCAGCAGTGTGACAGAGAGGTGACCCTAAAGAGACCCTTGTACCCTCTTGGATGAGATACTTCCTTGGACACACCTCCCAGGTAAAGTAATGCTGGGATGTGATGCTCAAATCTTCCTCCTTCAGACAACTGACTTCCAGCTGGTGCCTTTGTGGGTGATTCAGCCTTACAGGAAAACCATGTCAGGTGATAACAATGCATGCTCGCTCTGGGTGCCAAGTTTCCAAGAAAAACAGACCAGCTAGCCAGGTGAAGGACAAGAAGATGCCAGCAGAGGGGTAGTCCTCCTGACTGATCTTTTTTTTTCATTTTTTTAATTAAATTTATTTATTTATTAAAGATTTCTGCCTCCTCCCCGCCACTGCCTCCCATTCCCCCCTCCCCCCATCAAGTCCCTCTCCCCCGATCAAGTCCCCCTCCTGATCATTTAAAGGGAAAGGAACGTGAACATGAGGCGGTCATGCAGCCAGGTGCTCTCAGCTTGGCTGTGAGCTAGTGTCCTGAGTTACTGGAAGTGGATAAGGGACCTTCTCCAGGTAACTCATGATCTGGAGCTATGGAGGCTGACAGTGCTGAGCTCATCTAAGAAAGCAGACCAAACAGCACAGTAATGCTGCCAAGTGAGCCTGGAGAGCACTGGTGTAAGAGGCCCTTCTGTCTGTATGCTGTTTTTATTGGTTAATGAATAAAGAAACTGCCTTGGCTTTTTGATAGGGCAGAACTTAGGTAGGCAGGGGAAACTGAATTGAACACTGAAAGAAAGAAGGCCAATAAGAAGTTAGGGCTAATGGGCCAAGCAGTGATTTAAATAATATGGTTTCTGTGTGATTATTTCAGGGACAATGATTACCAGACTCAAGAGTCTTCCCAGTCTAGCCATGAACCTAGATCTCAGCCTGGGGAGCGGCAACTCTCACCCTACAGGAATATCCCATGCTCTTCCAGGCTCCTTGGAATCTGGCCACCAGCATCCCTCATGCTGACAGGATGCCCCCTACATCCGAACCAGAGGGAACCTGGTCATCATTTAGGGCTTATGACTTGTGATGAACAAAGTATTTCAGGGCTGGGGACATTTCCACATAGCTCTCTCATTCCTCATCCTGCCAAGTGCTTCAGGCAAATTCATTGTACCGTACCAGCTCTCCTATGAATCTAGCGTTGCGCCAATAAAAATGCCAGCTGGGCTGTTTGAAAACAAGACAAGCTAATTACAATGTTTATATTGAAATGTTATCCAGCAACAGTGACCCCCAAGGTGGAGTAGAACTGAAATTTGACCCACCGAGGCACGCAGCCTATGGTACAGCCTTTTCAAGCCTCCTGAGAGAATTGTGTTTATTCGAAAAATGGTAGGGAAGTTGGACAACAACCAGGAAGAAGGTTGGGATAAATTCTAGGGATTTAAATGTAACAAATAAAACACGAATATGAAATTTTTGAAGAAAGCTGTTCTTTTTCAAGAATTTGTATTTATTTGCTTGTGGAGGGGATATCCATGCCATAGCACACACGTGGAGGAGATAGGCAGGCCAGCACACACATGTAGAGGGGATATGCACGCCACTGCACACATGTGGAGGTCAGAGGTTCTCTCCTTCCACCATACGAGTTCTAGGGATTGAACTCAGGCCACTGGGCTTGCAAAGCAAACAGTTTAATCACTGAGCCAAGCACCCCAATGGCCCCATAAGGGAGGCCTTTTCTGTCTCTGTCTCCTTTCATCACCTGATAAAGGTTAATATTCAGGAGGATGCCTATATGTTTTTCTTTGGGTTCTCCTTCTTATTTAGCTTCTCTAAGAACCTGAATTATAGGCTCAATGTCCTTTATTTATGGCTAGAAACCAAATATGAGTGAGTACATCCCAGGTTCCTCTTTTTGGGTCTGGCTTACCTCACTCAGGATAGTGTTTTCTATTTCCATCCATTTGCCTGCAAACTTCAAGAAGTCCTTGTTTTTTACTGCTGAGTAGTACTCTAATATGTATATATTCCATACTTTCTTCATCCATTCTTCATTTGAAGGGCATCTAGGTTGTTTCCAGGTTCTGGCTATTACAAACAATGCTGCTATGAACATAGTAGAGCATATACTTTTGTTGTATGATAAGGCCAAGGGAGGCCTTTTGAAGAAAGTATGACTCAATACCCTCAAACATATAGAAGGATAGATTGATAACTTTGATTCCATAAGAAAGAAAATTTCAAAGTTTTTTTTATTTACAAAGTAGCAATTCACATTAGATGTTTAAAAAAACACATGTGTAAAGGGGCCTTTTCCATTAAGATTGTTTTCTTTTACTTAATCCCAAAGAAATCAACTCAGATTTTTAATCAATACAAAACTCCGACAAACCAATCAAAATCCTACCATCTAACATGGAAGAAAGGCGAAGAAAATGCAGAGAATGTTCACAGAAAAGGATACATAAATGGTTCTTCATCACAGGACACGATGTTTTAACCTCATTCATAATAAGATTATTGCAAATTAAAACTGGGCTATTAAATCAGAGGAGATGGCACTGTCTGAGGCAGATGCGGAAGAGGCACTTATTCCTGGACAGAAACAGCATGCTCCTGAGATGTCTGCATAACAACTTGGCGTTATTTGTCAAAATGCTAGGGCATGTATCCTTTAATTCAGAATTAGTCCCTTTCAGCGACTTATCCTAACAGTATCCACATATCAATGTATATAGGGACAAAGAAACTCTTTAAAACATGGTTGTGATGCTGGAGAGATGATTCAGGGGTTAAGACCGCTTGCTTTTGCAGAGGACCTGAGCCAGATTCCCAGCACCCACAAACATACATAACTCTGGCTCCAGCAGATCCAGCACCCTCTTCCGATTTCTAAGAGCAGCAGGCATGTACATGGTACACATACATACATGCAGGCAAACATGCACATAAAATAAAAAAATAAATCTTTTTTAAAGGGCCATGTATTATATAAGTCTATTAGTGTGAAAGAATTCAAGCCAGATGAATATACTGGGACAGAATGTAGATTAGTGGTTGTCCACTAATCTACACAGGGTACCCTGTGTACCCTGACTGACACAGGGTACTGAGAAGGCGAGAGCAAAGAATTAAGGGACTTGTTTATTTGGCTTTTGGTTTTTCAAGACAGGGTCTTTCTGTGTAGCTCTGACTGTCCTGAACTCACTTCTATAGACTAGGCTGGTCTTGAACTCACGGAGATCCACCCGCCTCTGTCTCCCAAGTGCTGGAATTAAAGGCATACACCACCACACTTAACAAAGGGCTTACTTTTATATAATGAAAATTTCCTATAATTGATTGTGATGATGCTTATACCAGTCAATGAACATGCTAAAATCCACAGAACGGGACACTTAAAATGGGTAAACTTAACAAAACTGAAAAAAAAAAAAAAAAAAAAAAAAAAAAAAAAAAAAAAAGCAGCTATGGCCTCCCTTAAATTATTTGAAGAACTTAAAAATGAATTTGTTTATTGTACTTTTCTATTATATGTAGTGGCTTTGCAAAGATGTCAGTGTCATAAATATGTTAACAATGGCCTGGTATGTGTGACGTGTGAAAGGATGTGTACACATGTGTATATATAGGTGTGTGTCATAGACACACAAATTCACACAGGGAAAAGTGCAACTGAAAGGGTAGTCTTTCCTGAGACCCCAAGAGCAGGGTGAACTGGGAGAACAAGAAGGACTCTCCCTTTCACTTCTTCAAGTCTGTGCTGCCCGGCTGCTACCCTGCACTATGAGTGCATGCGGTATTGTTTGTAAACAATTAAAAAGTAGTCAAAAGTCAACAGTGAGCTCCTTTGGAGCTGGAGAAATGGATCAGCAGTTAAGATGTCTTTAAATGGTCTTTAACTATTTTCTAGTGACTCAGCAACATCGGGGAAATGAATGGAACACCTCAAGTCCTAGCAGAGAAATACCCAAAGTACGTATTATCTCACACACTTTCTGCTGAGTCTCAGAGAAGTACAGTGACATCCCCATGGCAGGAACTCTGAAAACGGTCTTCAGGGGAACCTCTCTTTTCCCCCTTTCTAAAAAATGCTTCCAAAAAGTCAGACTGTGTCTTCAGGATAGAACAAAATGCTGGTGCTATTGCAGAGAGAGAGAAACGGAGAGAGAGAGAGAGAAAGAGAGAGAGAGAGAGAGAGAGAGAGAGAGAGAGAGAGAGAGAGAGAGAGAGAGAAGTGAAGGTGTATGTGGAGGCCAGAGGTTGACATTGGTTGTCTTTTCTATTGCTCAGCACCTTACTGAGACAGTGTTTCTCACTGAACTTGGAACTTGCCAATTCAGCCAGACTAGCTGGCCACCAGAGCTGGGTCCTCCACTGTCTGCCTCCCCACTGCTAGCATTACAGGTGTGTGCACTCGTACTCTGCCACACCTGCTTTTACACAGGGGCTGGGGGTCTGAACTCAGGTCTGCATTCTTCCAAGGCAAGCACTTTACTACCTGAGCTGTCTCCCTCCCCAGGCCCCTTCTTCTGTCTTAAAGCATTTTCTCCATCTGCTCCAAACCAGTGCTTTGTAAGAGCGGCGCATTGTTAGTGCTTTGGAGTTAGATGTGTTTCTGAGCGCATCCCTATACAAGCTCCCAGACCATAGCTCGTCCCATGGTTCTGTCCACACCCATCTTCTCCCCTGCAACTCTGAGGTCGCACCTCCACTCTAGCACCCCAATGTCTTCCTTAAGCCCTATTTCCCTTGCTAAGACCAGAGTCCAAATCCCTATGGCTGAACCAATCGGTTTTAAGTCAACTGCAACTGACTTAAGGAAATGGCTGTATGTTGCTTTGTATATCGGAGAAAGCCAGCTTTAATTATGGCTGGCCATGAATGCTTCATAGGTGACAATCAGGCCTCTCTTGCCACTGGTTGGCTATGCTTTCCCAAAACAGTGACAAGATGGTCACTAGCAACTCAGACTGGCTGGGAAGCCCTAGTTTTTCCTTCCCAATTAATTCCAGGAAAAGTCCTGTAACCTAACTCTGATTTGGCCTGATTGGGTC